ACAGACTTTAGGAATAAATTTGTGAATTTTTTAATTGGCTGATATGTATACAACCCAATTAAAAAAAAAACACAAACCACTGAAATCGTCCTTATTTTTGTGCATGTATCAAATTTATTTCTATTAAAATAGAAAAAAGAAAGAAAGCATAAATGGATACTTATATTTTTATTATTGTTCTTGATTTAGTTTTGTTAAATTATGAAAAATATCAATGTCAGCCTAACTTTCTACAGAAGTAGATTCATCCCAGAATGATATGGACAACTTTTAGGAATAAACACTGTCATATGACACTTTAAGTCATATATTAATATTATACATTGTCCATGTAACTTAAGAATGAATTTGTCATAAAATAAGATAAATAATTTGATGCACTTCAGAGTTGTATTGATTTAAAGCAGTAGTTTCGACAGGTTTTAATCATCCTGGTTAATATTAATTTTGACTGCAAAAATAAAACTTATAAAATACTAATTCTTTTCTTATATAATGCTTTTTAGCTTATGTAACTAATAAAATAAATTTTATTCACAAATGTGATGAAAAATAATGCTTTTAAAAATGTCATAACAGTTTTAATTATTTTTTTACACAAGCTGTTTTAAATAATTTGTATTGAATTTTAAAAACAATTACAACTAACAAGTTTTTCTGTTACTTTCAAACTGAGACATTTTTGTAATTCATTTTAGATTATTCCAAATTTTAAAAATTATATTTTTGTTGATGAAGAACTAGTACAACAGTTTATTAGACTTGATGTGAATCCATTTAATAAGCTCGTGTTTTAACTATAACTAGCTAAGATTTTATAGCTGCCTGGTAAATTTTAACACACTTATTGCATAAGCATATTTTATAAACTATCCTCATAAACTTGTCAATGTATAGTCATCCCCATCTATAAATGCATATCAGACAATTGAATAACCTGCTCATAGGAATAAATTTTAATGGAACCAAATTAATTTTAATGAAACTAATGTTAAATTACATTGTTTAAATTATTATTTATGATTGTCAGTTCTTATTTATGTGCATAAAGAAAAGAAATGTTTAATCAGATAGAATTTCTATTTTCCAGTTAAGAAGAGAATATAATATCAGAGGTCTGTCTAGGTTTTTCTGAAAGGTACCTTTTTTGTGAAAATTTAGACATAATTTGTGAAAAATTAAAAATTATATTAAAAAATCAACACAAAAAATATGGTAAAAATATAGATTTATCGTTTCTTAAGGAATACAAAAATAAAATTTTAAGAAAAAGTATTTTGTGAAACTACCATTTTTCCTAAAGTTGAATTTGCGAAACTACCGTTTTACCTAAAATTGAATTAGTGAAGGTACCGCTAAACGGTAGAAAATTCGGCCTGGACAGACCACTGAATATGTGGTCACTTTAAGAGAAACTTTCTGTCAAATTCTAAATCCAAACAAGTCAAGTTGTAATTTAAAAATTAATCAAATCTTGTCAGCAGTTATACAGTAAAGAGCAGCAGTTATTAATAAACCATTTTAAAATACAGTAAAATACAGGGTTTTTTACTCCTGTTTGACACACTTCATTAGCACACACGATTTTAAAAAAATGTTCCGTTAAATGTCAAAACAGTCTGTAATTACAGATTACTTGGAAGGAAATAAATAGTATAGTATATATATGGGGTACTTTTAGCTTTGATTAATTTTTACATAAATTTCAATCACATAAATATTTTATGGTGCTAACACCATTAACTCTAAGTATTATTGTTTATAGGTCATTAAAATGAATTTATTGTTTAAAAACATTATACAATTACATACAATTTAGTAAAAACATAGTATTTAAAATTGACTAATGCACTTTCCTTGTAATCGAATAATCCACTTATTTAAATACATTTGGTGGAAACCAATGGCAATCCTTTAAGCAGGGCTGACTGTTTTATTTTTGTAGCAGCACTCTTACTTTTATTAATTACAGTGGGTGATCGGTTAATGAACAGATCGGATAACAAACAAATCGGTTAACGAACACTTTCCCGAGAGTTTTTTGTGTTCGGATAACGAACACATATTCGGATAACGAACACTTTCAAAAAATATTTTTTGAGTTCAGACAACGAACACATATTCGGATAATGAACAAAACGAATTCTAACGAACACTTCTCGGCCTGAAGAAAAATTTATATTAAACATTTGTCATCATTTTGCATGCAAAATAAGATCAGTGAAAGGTGAAATGTTTAAAGCATGCTTAGTATTAATAATTACTAAATGAAATTTGAATTAACAATGAATTTAAAGGTCATTCAATAATTATTATTATGAGGAGCTGAAGGAGTAACGAAAATCACATCTGCGACACAAAGAAGTGCCATCCATGATAAAATGGAGAAGTTGCTTTTAGTTTGGATAAATGAACGGGAAATGAAATGAGATGTAACCTATCATACATCTATCGAGTCTAACATCTATCGAGTATGCCTATCATTCAAGAGAAGGCTAGAGAAAGTTTTGAGAAATTGAAAGAACAAACTCCAGGTTCGTCATCCGAGGAGTTAGAATTCAAGGCTACCACTGGCTGGTTTACAAAGTTTAAAGGAAGGTCTGGAATTAAACATGTATTAATGCGTGGTGAGTCTACTAGTGCAGATAAAGAAGCAGCTGAGAAGTACTGTCTCAAATTTCAAGAGTTCATTGAAACAGAAGGGTATCGTCCACAACAAATATTTAATTGTGATGAAGCTGATTTGTTTTGGAAGCGCATGCGAACCGTACCTACATCACGAAAGATGAGAAAAGTGTTCCTGGGCATAAACCTATGAAAGACCGATTGACGTTACTTTTGGGATCTAATGCTAGTGGTGATATGAAGCTTAAACCACTTCTCGTTTACCACTCTGAGAATCCCAGAGCATTAAAAACAAATTCCATAATTAAGAGCAAATTGCCAGTAATGTAGAGATCGAATCAGAGGGCATGGGTCACGCAGTATCTTTTCAAAGAATGGCTATTTAAAGTTTGTACCCCGAGCATCAAGGACTACCTTGATGCCAATGACTTGCCGTTGAAAGCACTGCTGCTATTGGACAATGCACCAGGACATCCAAATTATCTTGAAGATAATGTGTTGACAGACTTTCCCTGGCTGACAGTTCAGTTTTTACCTCCGAATACGACTTCTTCTGCCGATGAATCAGGAGGTTATTGCGGCTTTCAATAAATTGTTCACTCGCACGCTGTTTCGTCGATGTTTTGAAGCATACCAATTCTCCTCAACAATGACTTTAAAACAGTTTTGGAAAGAAAAATTTGACATTCTAGAAGCTATTCGTATCATTCAAAAGGCGCGGTCAGAAGTCACACAGCGACAGTTGATTTCTGCTTGGCGGAAGCTGTGTCCATCCTTCATTCAAGGAGACGGATGTGATCAAGGAAACACCCCTGAGATTATGGATGAAATTTTGACAACTGCTAGAGATCTGGAAGTGGAGGTGAACGAGGATGACCTAGAAGAGCTCATAATGGGACATGAAGATGACTGACGACAGAAGAACTCCAAGAAATTTTGAATGAAGAACACCAAGAAACACAGCGAAATGTGTCTCCTTCTGAACAAGAGGAAGACGAAAGAGGACCAATACCGACATCTGCCATTAAAGATCTTTTGAAAAAGTGGGAGGATGTCAGAGCAATGGTCTTAGAATGGCACCCAAACCAAGCTGATGTCAGTAGGGTTGGGGATCTTTACAACGACAATGCTATTAATTACTTCCGGAAAATCCTGAAAAAGAGAGAAAAGCAATCGACATTGGACATGTTCTTCAATGCCCCATAAGCAAAAAATGAAAAGGACTGATTAATATGCAAGACTATATGTATGTATTATTTTTAAAAAAACTTACTAAGAAATCATATATTTTTTAAAATTAAATTTTTAGGGTCTCCAGAACGAATTAATCGATTTCACATAGAAGTCCATGGTGAATCGATGATCGGTTAACGAACAGTTCGGACACCGAACATAGTCTTGGAACGGATTATGTTCGTTAACTGATCACCCACTGTATTTAATTACTTTTACATGCAAAAAATAAACAAAGAAAGAAATAGAATGAAATATTAATAATTAAGACATTTTAAGACCATTTTTAACTGTCCAGATGCTTCAGGACTACTTTTCCAGGGTCCAATTTTGACGGGTTAAAATTACAGTCCTGCATTTTAATGCATTTCTAAATAATTACTATTTGAATTTTCTCAACATTAACATAAGGATAAATCTCAACATTTGATAATTTATAAATTTTAACAGAAATGAATTTCAACAGAAACAAGCAACACAATTACTTCGAAAAATAAATGTTCAAATTCTCCCCAAAAAATTTAAAATAAACTTAAGATGTCATTACTTCATTCAAAATGCTGTAAATCCAAAATCTAAAAAGTATGTAATCAATTAAATGTGTTATGATGATAAACTAAAATATTACTTTAAGCATTCCTAAAGTAAAAGGCACTAACATGAAACAAAAATATGATTTAAATTAAATAAAGTTAAAATATGACAAAGGCACATATATTGTCACATAAACAAACATAACATAGTTTTGATATTATCAGGAGTGATTGTGAGCCCAAGTCAAAATTCCGGAAAATTTCTAGAGTTAAAAAAAAAACAGTTAAAATTGAAACATAAGAAAAAAATTTAAACAAGGTTTTTTTCCTTTTTCTCAATATCTCTTAGTTTACTTAAAATATATTTTAAATTTTACACATACCAATACCATTTACAAATACCTATGATGACCTGGAGAAGTAATTAAAATTTACAATTATGCCTTTCTTTCTTGAGTTTATGATTATAACAACTATTTACTGATAAAAAATGAATATTAATCATGAATATTAGCTTATAAAGTATCTCTCTGGCTCTCCCTTACAAACAAATAAAATAAACTATGTTTTTAAGCTCCATCTTTGAAAATTTCATTTCCAGAAACTTCTGTGATCAATGATTTTTTGAAACGTCTGAACCATCGATCTCCGGAAACTTCCGGATCACTGTTTGCGAAAATTCCGAAAATCCGGATTTTTTCCGAAGCACAATCAGCCCTGTATTATATAGTTGCACCTTCTTTACTGTCAAGAATAAAGAATTAAACTAAAAAAGGTGATTTCTGATGCGATTAAAGATGGTTAACCAGAAAGAAAATACTAAAATTGTTGTATGTTTGTTTACATGACATAATTTGAGGGTGTTTCTTTTTTTACATTATTTATATTCACTTTGATTAAGCACAAAGTAAACCCTCTTTTATTTGACTGACTCAGTTAATTTTAAACTCTTCCCGTATTCTGTCAGGCAAAGTATTATCTCTTTCATGAATGCGATAATGAGTCTTAAGAGAACTTCTCTGTGTAAAACTCTTACCACAAACTTCACAAATATGTAATTTTTCTTTTGTGTGAGTCACAAGATGAACTTTCACTTTATGAGCTCTTGTAAAACCTTTCCCACAAATAGGACACAAATGTTTCCTTTCTTGATTTGTATGAACACGTATAAAATGCGAAGAAAGATGAGATTTAAGAGAAAATGTTTTATCGCATAATTCACACAGAAATGGTTTTTCTTGAGTGTGAACTGCAATATAATGTGCTCTAGCATGTGTGCTGCGCCCAAAGCCTTTATTACAAACTGGGCACTTATGTCGTTTTTCTTTAGTATGCATAAGATAATGACTTCTGAGAGTCGATTTTAAACCAAAACATTTATGACATTGATCACATTCATACGGTTTCTCTTTAGTGTGGGTACGGTAATGGGTCTCGAGAATATGCCTTTCATAAAAGCTACCTTCACACAAATCACATTCATAAGGTTTTTTATCTGTAAAATGAGCAAGATAATGTTTTTGGAAATAGTATTTATTTGTATATGTTTTATTACACACATCACAATGATTGGGTGGTTTAATGTGGCGTTTCTGATGCCGCCGGAAACGACCTCGACTGTTAAATTTTTTATCACAGATAGCACAAACGTAAGTCATATTTAAATGAAGCGAATAATGCTTATGATACTTATCCTCATTCGTAAACTTTTTACCACACACATCACATTCCCTATATTTTTCAGTATGAGTAAATAAATGTTTTTCTAGGCGAACTTTATCGATAAAACTTTTATCACAAATAACACACACATGGCGATCCTCTTTCTCGTGCACTTTACTAATGTGAGCACTTACTGAAGTCTTAGAGGAAAATTTTTTATCGCAAGCAACACAATGATAGGGGCGATCTTTTTCTTTATATAAATGACAAGTTTTTAAATGATGATCACGAAAATATTTCTTGTCTCGTACAACTGACGTCCTTTTATAATGTTCAGGCCTTTGAAAATGCCTATTAAGACTTGATTGGTACGGAAACCGTAAATTACATTTATTACAAACATACGCCATACTTTCATACTCTTTGAGGCAATTGCAGTTTTGAATCGTATCTGAATTTTCTTCTGAATTATCGCTATCGTCGTATTCTTCTTGATGCAAAGCTAAATAAGGACAATCTACGAGTTTACGCACAACAAAGCTTTGGTTATAGACATCACACATATGATATTCATCCTCAGTAAACGTCAGATTTTCGAGATAATTATTTTGTAAATAACTTTTCCGACGTATATCACAAATATAAAAAATATTTTCAGGTGTAATATGAATTTTATTCATTTTTCAACTGTAATTTAATCTATGCTTGCCATTGCTCCATCAATTAATTCTCAATAATTATATATGCTAGTATTTCGTCTAATTTTGTAGATTGAACAACCCTCGATTCAAAATAAACAAATGAAAATATTCTCTAAACTCGTACGTTAAATAGTAACTTTTCAGATAAAACTCATAAATCTCTCAGGTTTTGTTCATAAATTTAAATCTTTCTACGGATAATCAGTCTAAAAGGTTGAAAAGATTTAAAAGTTTGAGTACGTATGACTCAGTAGATGAGTTGCTTGTGACTCAGCTTATAGCTTTTATATTAAAAGTGGATCAGCTGCCAGAAACAGCCATAGCAACATTTCTTTTTGATATTGGCAATATACACGAATTAATAATGTTGTCATTATGGCCAAAAATGTAAACAAAGATAGGCCGTCTGACTTTTATTTCAAGCTTATTTTATTAGGAGACTATAATGTTGGTAAAACGTCAATATTTCGTCGATTCAAAGATAATGAGTTCAAAGAAAGTGGAAATTTAAGCGTCGGAATCGACAATTATTCAAAAGTTATAGAAGTTGACGGACAAAATGTTACCGTAAGACCTAAGTTATTTCCTTATAGTTATTCAATTTATCACATTTTCTTAATTAGCTCTAATGAGAGAACTTTTGAAAAAGCAAACTTTTAATTTTTATTCAATATGAATATTTTGAAACCTTTTAAACTGTACTATTTTACTTTTGACAATCCACTGAAAGATATCTTCAGGCGAACAGTTATGATTATGAAGTATATAATTTATTACTTATTGTCTTAGGAAACTATTTACTTTCCTCAGAAACTTGGTTATGAGAGGACTAAATTTCATGTTATTCATTGACATTTAAAATTGCTAATTGATTCGTGTATAAGATGTATAGCGTATATTTATAATGGTTCTATTTTATCCAAAATGAATTTTAAGACATTTTTTTTTTTTTAAACATCTCATGAATGAAAATTTTTCTTAAGTATCTTACCAATAGATGGAATATTTAAGTTTTAATATCGTAACCAGAGGTGAATATTAGAGAATAAAAATTTCTATCTAATTTACATATCATTTAATCAACTTTTATTTTATCAAACTTAAGTGTAAATTTATGTTAGTTTGTTGATGCATTATAGAAAGTTGCATGTTTTTGTGCGTTTTTCAAAGTGGATTTTAAATATTATGATGATATTTATATATCGTGATCTGTCATGTCAACTACAATGGCCAAATAAATTTTAAATTTGCAAATTTTTTTAAGAAAAAAAAATCTAGAGGTTTGTCAGGGTGGCTACAAGTCATACCCTTATTGTCGTTTTCTTTCTCTTGTCCTTGAAAGCTTTTATGAATTAGTTAAGTCATTTAATGTACTCATTTTGGTTAAATTGCTGTTGTTCTGAGTAATTTTCCATCAATAGTATAAAGTTTTTAAAAAAGAATTAAAAAAAACTCTTATCAACTAAAATAACTTTTAGTAAACAGAGTGCTATTTTTATTTTAATAGAAATCTCTTTTACCTTTAAAGCCTGTATAATATAATTTGTAACTTTTAAAGTTTTTATGAATTAGTTACGTCAGATATAATCACTTTGATTCAACTGCTGATGTTTAGTAAGCACTTTTGTTTAAATGTTTGCATCAGGGAATAGTGCACCGGTCTGGGTCTAAACTAGCAGAATTACCAATCAATATTATGGAAAATATTGCAATTAGAAAATAGAAAAGACACTTAAATCTATTCATTTATTAAACTGCATTTCTAAGTACACCAAAAACAAATTATAATCTCTTCAAACAAAAGCCAGTCTCATTCTGTTCTAAAAAAAATTTTAATAAAAATCATACACGACCTTTTTGATATTTGCGTTGCATGTTTCCTTCTTTTGCTTTTATCAGCCTAGCTAAATTTTACATTTAAAAGTCCTGAGAGGGTGTATTAATAGTTATTTATTTTATTTATAGCTTGTACTTTGGGATACTGTTGGGACAGAGCGATTTCGAACTCTTACTAGGAACTACTTTCGGAATGCTGATGCTTGTCTTATTGTATTCAGCTCTAATGAGCCTGAGACTCTCACTAGCTTGACACAATGGGTGCGAGATGCTGATGATTTTTCAGAAAATGGTTAGTATGTTAAATAATAATAATTGTAAATATTATCTGAAATCTAGCCATTAATGAGTCAAATTTTAATCCTGCTTTGTATGCTCACTATTTTTCTGGGACATTCTTAAATTCTTCTTATTACATTGTTTATGTTTTCTTTAAATATTTTTGAATACTATGTGTACCACATTATAAACATAATTAAATATTAAGAGAAGATTGAAATGATTAATTTATTTAACAATTAAGTATTAGGAATTTTAACAGAGATATTGTTGCATTTTCAACTCAACAACATGAAAGGTCAAAAGTAAATATTTAAAAAATTTAGTAATAACATAAAAAATTTTTTACAAAATATGTGCATAGTTTAACAATTTAATTTACTTGGTTTTTTTTATTTTTTTTATTTAAAGTTTTATCCAAGATAAAATTTAACTCACATATTGAATAAAATAATTCTTATATATTAACTTATACATTTATTATCTATTTATAATAAAGACAAAAAGAAAAAAAACGAGGAGAATTAAGAAAAATAATAAGCTTTATTTACTTAGCATAAGCTACAAGTATATAGAACTCTTAAAATAAGTTAATAATATAGAGAAAACATGAAAAATAATAAAGATTAATGAAAAGAAAAGAAGAAAAATTATTAAAATAAAATATTTTTAAAAAATTATAAAATGATTATAACAAAAAACAATTATATCCATGACTATTATATTCAATTATATAAAATAATTATATATTGTGATAAATGATTTTATAAAATGATTATATCTGCGAAAAGGAGTGCTTTCTAATATTGTATCAATGTAGCCAAAGCGAAATATATCAATACAATAGTGTAAGGAGCACTAAAAAAATTTTTTTAATGAAATTGAACACATTAAATCAAAAATATATTACACAGAAAACAGGAAATTAAATGTTAAGAAAAAACAGAACAAGACACAAAATGAAATCTGTAGAGCGAGTAGCAAATTCAAATGAACTTACATGCTTCGTAATCTTTCAAGAATGATTTAAAATATTTTCGTAATAAGATTGCCAGATTGCAGAACATGAAAAGAGAAGCTTAAATGGAAGGATTTTGTTTATGGCACTTTCTTACTGCAGTACTGAACCGTATTTGATTTGTTAGTTACTAAGGATTGGTTCTAAAATGGATGTTTGCAAGGTAATAATATTATACTAAATAATTTAAAGAAGTTTATAATTAATAAGGTTGATATTTAACTACACAATTTTAATAATTTTAAAAAATTAACATTTATTTAACAAAAACTCAGAGAGAGAAACATGATTTACCCGTTTTGCACAGATTTTTATAGCCCAGGATTTGCCCAAATTGGATATTACTATTCAAAACCGTTAAAATAGGCTCAAAGAACAACATCCCAAACACACAAAATTAGGAAAACAAATTAAGAGACGAAACAGAATGAAAACAAAAGTAAGTTAATCGTAGAATATTAAGTGCCAAAGCTGCATTAAATATGATCACTAAAACATAGCACAATAAAGAAAAACGAAGAGAATTAAGAAAAATAAGAAGTTTTATTTACTGCTCATAAGCTGCAGAAATATATTTTTCTTTTTTTTCCCCCGCTTTTTAATGTATGTATATTATAAATATTTTTTTTAAATATTTTATAATTTTTCTTTTGATTAATCTTTATTATTTTCCATGTTTTCTCTATATTTTTAACTTAAATATATATAAACTAGTATTACTCATTCACAATTATTTTTCAGCATTGAAAGCATTGATAAGAAATAAAAATGATTTAAAATGTCTGATTGCTCAAGAAAAAGTTAATGCATTTGCCCATCACCATGACTGTGATATTGTGTTTAACATTTCTGCAAAGACAGGTAATCTCTCTGAAACAGTTTTCTTGTCATATTTTGTCAAAGTAAAGAACTTGTTTGTAAATTTTTAAAACATAAGGTGTTGAAAAAATGACGAAATTGACTTGCCTGAACATAATAAAAAAAGAACAAAATCAGCATTATAAAACACGTGGTTCAGTGTATAATAATCTGAAGTTACAGTTCTTTAAGTTTCCCTTTTCCATTTGTCTTTCAGTACATAAATTAACAAGTTTTGGAGCTTAATAAATATGTGTTAAAACTATTTATAATAACATCGAGTAAAAAATTAAAAAAAATTTGATTATTCTTCATTAAATCTATTAAAATTTACCCCCAAAAAAAACTTATAGTCGAAAAATATTTTTCTTAATAATAATTTGCTGAACCAGATTATTCATTAAATCCCTAGTTTGTAATGAATGAAGGGCGAAAAAATAATTCATTCTATATTACTTTTAACAGTGTAATTAATTTAAAGCAGAATTTCTGATTTTAGAATAATATTTAAAGTAACTTTATTAAAATAATCCTGGGGGAAAAAAAATTTCTCTTAATACATTTTAGTTATATTTTAGTGATTATCTCTGTAATTGAATTAACCATAAATTTTCTTGCCTTCAATAGGGGAAGGGATTCAAGAAATGTTCAAAACGATTGCGCAAAAGCTCATTTTAAAAAGCAGTCGTGTACAGAAAAATCAATCATTGTTTGAAAGAGATGTTCATCAATTAGATGCTCATGAAGTGGATGTTAAAGCTACCTGCTGTTAAGAAAAAAAAGTAAAAGAAAGACTTTTTCAAATGAAAATATTTATTTTTTCCTTACACTTAACCTTTATGAAAGCAAACATATTTCAAAAAATGTTTCAAATAAATTCACTATCTTAATGTCTTTTTATAATACAAGATCTGATATTATTTTCCAAGGCAGCCTTTATTTTTAGAGCTTAATAAAAGAAGGTTTTTAGTGATACTAATTAGAGAAAAACATTTCAGAAAGATAGGGCAACAACAAAATGCTATTTATGAAATATATTTTCTCATTAAAAGTATGTTGTTTAATAACCTTGCACAAAAAATTTTAATTCAGTATATACAGCTAACCATAATATGCTTTTTAAGCACATAATCTTGCACTTTTTCTGATTGCCACTCAGTACCTTCTTCTACTAAGATCTTTATTGTAATTGTAAATTTTCGTGCTGGTTACTATGCATTTACATCTTGAGATAGTATATAAAGGGGGAAGAACGGTTTCTGTCCGTTTTTCACAAAAATGGCCCCAGTGACAAAAGGCTATGCTGGGTGTAAAAGGTTCCTGTTCATACTTAAATTGGTCAAGCCAGTTTAGTTAAGTTAGATCAGTGGTTAAAGTCAGCTTATGTGGACATAAAACATTTTTTCCCCCTGATATTTATTTGTTTTGAAAAAGATTTAGTTAAATTGAGAAGAGTGTTCTTCCAATTGAAATAAATAACTTTGCAACAGTTTAAATTTGGATTTTTAACTGTTTATTATCAACAAAAAAATTTAAAAGTTTCTTTTTCTTTTTTTTATCATATATTTTCACAGAAACACTGAATTCTTTTAACTGTGAATTATCTTGAAAACACTATGCATATTGGTTACTTGAATTGTATTTCTTTTTTACTATTTTAAAGCAGTAACGTTTCAATTAAAATTTTTAAAAAAATAGTTTCTTTATAACAATTGTGCCAAATGATCACAAATCTATATTGATCATATAGTTACATTGTACATTTGTTACCTGATGAACACATTGTCACAATCAACAAATTTTAATAAGCATATTTTTCCCCTCATAAACACTTAACTATAATTTCAGTTCAGGTATACTGATATTTTTAATTTAGTTTTCTATATAGTAATTTATAAAGAACTCAATAATTATGCACTCTCAATCTTTAAAAAATTCTTAAATAACTTATGAACATTAAAAGATGTGTGAACAAAATTAAACTATATTCTTGATATTATATAATCTTTTGTTAGGGTCAAATTTCATAATAAACAATTTTTATAATGAGATGAAGAAAGTTAGAAGAATAATTTCTTCTTATCTGAAATGTGATAATCACTTGTAGTCCTTCCTTTATGTATCTAAAAAAAAACACTCAATATTTTTATACAATTTTGTGTAAAAATGAATCTGTGCATTGTAAAAATTAAAAAGTATCAGAAATATCTCACATAATTTCTAAGAAATCTTTTATTTTATGAATCTCTGTACTTTTAATCTAAATACATTTTAATAGATACTTAATTTATTTGCATTTATTTTTTTTAATTGACGCATCTATTTTCTTTGTATTTGTGATACATCAGTTAGAGTTCTCAATAAATTTTTTAATTTATCGTGTTATTATCCAAAATTCTATCTTTTATATAGTTTTCAATCAATGCTTTTGCTGAGGAATGATACTTTTTTTTCTTTTTTCAAAAGCTATGTTTTTAATGTGCATGTGAATCTATTAAATTTTGTTAGTATACATCTTCATAAAAAAAAATCCTTTTCTTATTTCTGGAAACAAAGTTCATAATAATTATCAAACTTATTCATATTTTAAGAAAAATGTAGCTTATTTAATATATATATATATAGTCATTTATTAAAATGCTATCAAACACAAATTTATAATTCATTTTTTAACTTTGCAGCTTTAATTTATTTATTTTCCTAAAAAGTTGTCTTAAAAAAATTAATCAGGCTTTGTAGTCTGTCAAAGAAAAAATCTAGATATTTTTCAAAAAATCAGGGCATTTTTTGGGACAGTATACGTATATAACTAGTTTTGTTAAGAGCAAACTGAAAAAGTATAATTTGCTCTACTTAAGTGTAATAAAATCAAATTTTATTACAAAATAGTTAAAAAAATTATGATTTGTTTTTTATATCAGAATTACTTTGTTTTAACAACTTCTAGTATAGTTTTATCAGCACTAAACAACACATAATAGCATAAAATCAATTCATGAAAAGCTTTCATAGTATTGTTGCATCAAAAGAAAATCCAGTATCAATTAGTTGATAAACCCTCATACCAATATTTAATTGAATTTGATTTAAAGATTTCATTCACCATAAGTTTAAAGTATGGTTTCAAAAATCTTGAAATGCAAAAACACAACGAACATGCCACTTAACATTTTGTACAAAAGTAATTTAGTGGATGATCCCTCAATTCATCATTTAAGAATTCTATAATGTGATTATTGTACTGTTGATTGAAAGCATTCATTTTTGTAATCACATGAAAGAAACCAATCAATATCGGTGAAATTACAAAAGTTCATCCTACAAGATTTGTCACTGCATGTAAAATAGTAATAATAATGTAATTAATAAGGGTTTAACCTCTGAATTCATCACCATGAAAATTTGGGAACATAAAATTGTTAATTAAGTTTGTTTTTCATAGAGTTTAAACAATGAAACCTGTGGGTAAAGCTAAATGTTTTGCTGTTTCTACCAGCATTTTTAATAAATAGATCTCATATAAAAAAGATTGATTAAAATTCCAAATCTTTCACTTTTTCAAATCTACTTTGGATTCTTGAAAATCGTACGTTCAGAACACAATCAAAAATCAGAAATATCAGGACAAAAAGCTAAGAATCAGGGCAAATAGGACAAAATGTTTTTTTTTTTTTATTTTTTATCAGGAGTATCAAAACAACTTCGAACTCAGCATTGATAAATAATTTTTTTTCCTTTTTAGCGTGAATAGCTTTGATATTTCTTTTAAAAAAAGATATTATTTTTATTCGTAGTGTTGATTTTTGCCTATGCCTTTTTTTCTAGTTTGTATTATTTGTAGTTTAAAGGAAAACAAAGCATTTATTTGATGAATTTGTGTAATTCCTTTTCTTTTCTATGCCTGTAACTTATGGTTGTAAGTAATTCACTATTCATGCTGATAGTATTTAGATATAATTAGAATACAAATTTTATTATCAAGGGTGTTAATTAGCAACTGTATTTTTAATAAAAAGTTGTCTTACTAAAAATTGACTCTTATTTAAGGCCTTAAAGCTGCTATTAAATTTGTTATTAGTTGAAACTTACTTAAAATGCTAATAAACCTTTGTATGCATACCACACATTATTTCTCAAACTATTGATATTACTGTAGTAAAGTTTTGAAAGTATGTCATATTTTGTTTGGATTTGGATCTGTTTAGTATTGAAATTTGTTTTAAATGTATTAGTTGAAGAAGTTACAAATAGAATTTTATTCAACCATAACAAGTTACTTTCAAAGCTGTAATCTAACACTGTAAGATGTTATTGCAGTGCATTATAACTCTTATGTTTTATTTAATATTGCCTGTGATTAGAGCCAAAAGTTCAAATGTTAACCACAAGTAGGTAAAATTGTCAGACCTCATAATCATAAAATTGGTGGTAATTAGTGTTTTGTGTGGAATTCTTTTTTGTAATTTATTCAGACTTGGCCGATATGAATGGACCAATTCTGAGAATGTTAGTATTCTTGTACATGTTAATTCCTTTAACTTAAATATATGCAATAAGATGAATGTAAATAACTTATTTTCATGCTTAATTCTTCAAGATTTTTTTCCTACAAGTTTCTTTAATTTCAATGTTCAGACTTTTTATATGATTATACCATTTCTCTCCCTCCCAAAAATGCAGTTTTTGAAGAATTTTTGGAAAATATCTGAACTTATTTTAATCATTCCAAAAAATTAAACATTTGCTTATATAGCCAAAAAAAATTTTTTGATCATATCATGATGGAAATGTTTGAAAATTCACGCTTCATACATACTTCAAAAAACTATTGAAAAAGTTAAACCAGATTTTATTTTTATAACAGCCCCTATTGTATTTCATTTTTTTTCCTTGAAAAAACACTTCAACCAGGTAAAATTAGTACTTATTGCTATTCTGTGGCTATGATCCACAAAAAACTAGTGCAGCTCTTAGGTGATAATGTCAAGAAAAATTCTGTGCACGTATGAGCTTATGATACAAATAAATTATGGGCCATCAAAATTCTATCACACATTACTTTTGACAATCACTAAAAGAATCTTGCAATATACTTAATATTTCATTTGACTAAGTTAATATATGACATTCAAAATACACTTTCTTCCATGAAGAAGCTGGTTTTCAATACTTTTAGATTGCAAACATGATGTGGTCACTTTTTTTAGTATTATTTATGAAAGAATTGTTTTTATATATACATATTTAATCTTTTTGGGATTATTCAGTATTTAACTATAAAATTATATGCTTTATTTTTCTCCCCTAAACTCTAACTGTTATACAAAACAATGTATGAAAATATGTCTGAAATAGTTACTGCAATACTCATTTTTAATTGATGCATTCCATTGCTTAAGATAATGATTTTCTGATAGAAACAAAATTTGACCTAAAAATACTAAAAAAAGTATATTATTTGTGGATATAATCGTGTGAGCTAATGAAGAGATTATATCTTTTCATTTTGTTTATTTTTTTTGTCTTCCGGCTTTTAAATATGTGTATATTTTTTTATTTTTTTAAATATTTTATTTTAATAATTTTTCTTTTCTTCGTTTTTCTCTTCTTTTTTCTTATCCTTTTTGTCTTTATTCTGCTATATATATACATGCCCATAGCCAAACTTCGAATTTGTGTATTTTTCCGTCACAAAAAAATATATCAATTCTCTATGTATTTTCTATATTAATAATATCTTCAGCTGAATACAATGAAAACAAAAGAAATTAAGGAATAAGAATGAAGACATAAAAGTAAGTAAATCATTGATGATATATTAATCATAAAAATATTATTACTTTGCTGTTTTTAAAATAACTGCCAACACAGTGTTAATATGATTTTCTGTGTCTCAAATACTTTAGTGTTTATTAAAAAAAACGAAGTTTGACTGATATATATAAATATTGTTTTTTTGTTAGTTTTTTAAAAATAAAAATAAAAAACACTAGATCTGGAATTTTAAAAAAAAAAAAATTTTTTTTTGATCATGCTGAATCTTACACTGATGACTTATTTATAAACATTATGGATTATATAGTATGCATTATGATATATTCTCACTTTTTTTATTATTTTTTCACCTTATTGCATAAATCTCTTCCTATTCATGCTTCCATGTTCATTCATATGTATGTTATGTAAATAAAATTTGTGTAGTTAAAAAACATTAAAGGACTAACTATTCATTAGTCTAACGATAAATGGTGGACTATTTTATGTATTGATAAGTTGTATTTCATATAATTTTATGTGTATTTTGATCTGATTGTAAATAATTCAATAACTTTGTTTTTAACTGTACATTATTTTTGGTACTTTTGCGTTTGTAACATTTTCTTTGCTCCATGTTTATATTTACTTTTTATACAAACTAATAAATTACAAGAAAACTCTGTTTGGTTTGCATCAATACATTACCTTTTACCAACCTGTTTCAAAACCTTTAAATTGTTCTAGATGCTAAAATAAAAACATAAAATACAAATTATTAATTCAGTTAAATTACATTTTTTGCAATTAGGAACTCGCGCGTAAGCATTTGAGATGAGACAGGCTGAATCCAAGAACCCAGATCCGACACAGGCATTTACTGAAAAAAGGTTTTAGGCTCAATCTCATGATAAAATTTTCATTAACTTTTTTACTACTTTTAAAGAAATATTTGATTTAGTATAAATAATGTAAAAATTGTAAGAATTAAAAAATTACACTGATTTGCTACTTCTGTTACTGTTTTGTCCAGTGCTTTTGCTTTGTGAAACTAACACTATTGTGAAATTACTTTTATTTAGTTTACAAGTTTTATTTTGTTTTTAAGTTTAGTCGGTACAATACAAGGTATTATACTTTGTTCCCCGATGGGTCAATGTAGGCAAAATGCATTGAGTTAGTGTGACGAACTTATTATATTGAAATGCCACGGTGAAAGATTCTGTTGAGTTTTATAGTAAACAGTAATATTAAATGTATCGTGCATGTTAGTGATGCGAGCACGTTCGAGAGCAGGGGATCGAGCCCCCTAGTATATCTTTATATAAAAGTATTTCTAGCTTGGATTAAAATTTTTTAGATACAGACCTTCAAAAGCGAGCAGAATTTATCTTTGATCAACACCCACATGAAAAGAGAGGATGATTCATTCATAATTATTTCTTTGTTTTCACATTTATAGTTGAACTTTCCGTTATTGTAGCAGTTGAATAAATCTTTTTTAAAAAGATCTTTGAAAGGAAATGGGACTTATAAATGCAAAAATTACATAGTTAGCTAAGACAAACAATTATTTTAGTACAAGCACTATTATCATCTGCGTTTAGACGATGATAAGGAATCTTTTGGTAGTAATGAGACAATAGTATGTTTCATTTGAACTTTTATACTTTGTGTTCTGCTTTATTATAATATGGCACTAAGATGTCCTTTTTTAATTATGTTAGCTGTTTTAAATATTTTTATTTCTGAACTTTATTAAAAAAATACTCATAGATTAATGTTGTTTTGATACTGTTACATGTGAGAGAATAGTTCGTGATTTTTTACTTAACTTTTTTTTTTTGCAACTAAATGCACTGTATCAAATTTCTCACTGGGGATTTTTCGTCATTGTATAAATGTTTAGCTATGACTCCTTAGCCAGATTTTTATTAATATACAATAAGTTATTACTATGTTTTTCAGGATTCATTTCATGCTCCTAACACCTTTTTTGTTTTGTTTTTGACTTTTTAAATCTAACTCAAAGGTGTTTAGCTCTGACTTCATAATTAGATTTTATTTCTATGTTTAACTGGATTTTCGCTCTAATTTATTTGAAGACTAGTGTTCAGATTTTATTTTAAGATAGTTTAAAAAAGAATTGCCAATGAAAGTTATGACTTGTTTTATTTTTTATTTGAATATCAACAAAATAATTTACAGATGACCACTTTTTTATAACAGAATCATATTTGTTCATCTTGTGACTTGTAGATGTTTTATCATGAAATCTTTAAAGTTCATTAAAGGTTCAACAGCACTATCGAGTGAAGGAACGATTATGTCTATTATTCATATCTCTACGTCCACCTCCTCTGTTTGCAGAATTTGGTGTTATAAATCTGAAAAATAAAGGTATGATAAAAATTATTATGACAACATTATGTATAAGTGCTAATATTTAAATCACATAATTTGAATTGCATTTGATTTGTTTATTTTTTTCATAGATTTACTTCTACGTTGCAATTTTCTGTTTATACACTAATTAGTTTTGTCCAGAATTTCTATGCTGTTTTAAAAATATTGTTCTTCTAGCTGTTGCGTACAAACAACAATTTTTTGACTTGATAGATTTCCTTAATGCAAAGCACCATCTATATTTTCAAGTTGACTGGAGTATTTTATTGACTTTGAACTGTGTATTTTTCACACTTCAGTTAAAACTCGTGCTACTTATGAGGAGGTATATTTTTCTATTTGTTAGTTAAAATGTTCCATAAATAGTGCAATCTATATTTTTTATCAGTACTATACTGCATTTTATGTAAAGAAGATATATATTTTCTTTTTGAAAATTTCAGAAAAAATGCTAGAGGGTTTTATTTATGTTTACTTTGATACCTTTGTATGCAAAAGATTATGACTTCAGAAGTATTAAGTAGTTTTATAATTTAATTTATTTTTCACTTTTCATGTAAATGTTAGAACTCCTTCACATTTTTTTTTTTTTTTACATATTTTTTTATATATATGGAGCTAATTATGCCTATCAAAAAATTTTAAAACCTGTTAATCCTAAAATAGTATACAGTCAGAGAAAAGTAATTATTTTATTGATTGAAAATTTCATCTTACTTACAAATCAAATTTTTGACTTAAGGGTAAACAAAATTTAAAACCAATGCAAAAATTTTATAAGACGGAAAGATTTGCACAATTGGTTATACAGATATGGCCAAATTAACAAAAGGATTTAAACTCTTAACCTCTGCGCTGACATGACGACTCTGCGGAGTCATATTTTGAGTCAAAAACCTGAATTAGCTAAAGATATGTATTCAAGTAATTGATAAGAATATCTTCTTGGCTCTTTAAAGCTTGATTAGATAGGTTGTGTGTGCAAGACAAAAGAGCAGATCATCAGGCCAAAGGTTATTTAGAGTAACCTTTTTTGCTTTCCTGCATAAAAAAGAGAAGTGAACACATGGAATAACTTTTGATCTAATAATAAAGTTTTTCACAAATGAAGACTCAATGTTAGCAGCTTGAGGGCAAGCTAATTGGTTAGTTAAATATTTTACGAGGTGGGACAAAAAAAAGCCCTATAATTTTTAATATACCTTTATTAAATATAAAAAAATTAACAAAATATAATAATAAATTTTTTTGGTTTCAAACTGGATACTTTTGTCAGCGATTCAAAGGCACAAATGCTTATTGAAATTTTCAGTAATGAGCCACAAGTCATCTACCTTAAATCTATCCCATTTCCGCTGAAGGGATTCCTTTCAAGAGTAAGGTTTGTGTGGTTTAGTATCTGCCTCAGAACTGTTTGGCCTTGTGAGCTGGTGCAGAGTCTTGTTGAAAAACCCTTTTTACATTGCCGAAGTACAGCAGCTTCTAAAATGTCCCGTAAGCACGCTCTTTGACTCTCAAAATATGGAGGACAGCCCCAATCTGGGATATATTATTTTAATAGTAGAAAAGCAGTCATAAGTTTGGACCCCTTAGTTTCACTGTTAGCATATTTGGCTGCATATCAAAAGCTTTTTATGCAAATTGAAAAGTTCTGTACACAAATAAAATTTGTTTAGTCAAAGTTAATTCTATGTGAAAAATTTTAATTAATTTTATTATTTTGTTTAATAATAATCTAAAATATTTTACATTATTTGAACAAAATTGAATAAATAGTTCTAAATTATCTAATTTTAAAAAGACGTATGTTCAAAGTTCTTGAGAGAGTTTAATTTGACTGATTTTGTGTTTCATTTAAAATGTAAAATCTCACAATTCAAAATTTTCTGTGTATTATTAAATAATTATTAAACATTAATTTTTATGTGGAACAGGGGTGAAAGTTTCAAAAATTGTCAAGACTGAAAATGTCAAAATCAGAAGTGGCGTGTCGTCCCGTCCAATAATTTTAAGTAAACAAAAAGTTATATATTAATTCTTTTCATATATAATATAGTGTATAAATATAATATTTATACAATTATATATTTTTGTGAGTCCCTATTTCACTTCTAACCAATACCAATTTTTTTTCTAAAGAAAAATATAAACGGAAATTTATTTGCGCAAGCGCGGAACTTACTTATCGACCTTAAACAGGAAGGTGAAGTCACATGTTGCAGTTACGTGTTCCCCTACACACCTTCGCGCATTTGAGAAAACCGGTTCTCTCCTCTGACATTAACCTATATACGGAACCGGGGGAAAGAAAGAAAGAATGAATCGGTCGTTTGGGAATTTTCACACTGAATCCGTCTATCGCATGTAATTAAAAAAACAAACTTAGAATTTACTTATAGTAATATTGCTTTTCGCTCTGTCTTGTGAGGGTTTTTTTAAAAAGATGGAAATGCATCAAAATATGGAAAACTTTCACCCCTGATGTGGAATTATATTTGTCTGAAAAAATATTTAGATTCATTTAAAAAGTTGTCAAGATACAGTAAAATGAGAAAAAAATTAACACTAAAAAGTAAAAACTTTCAACCACTCTCCTACCTAAACTAGAAGGAACTTTTTAGACTAGCTACCCACAATATTTTGAGGTCACAAATTCAATTATCCATCAAAAAAGGGCATGTAGAGAAATGTGTTTACATATCTAATTTTGTAACTTAAAGTCTTCTCTAACTAATTAGCATATTTAAGGTTAGGCTCTCAAACCATTAAATCTTAGCAAAAATAATACGCTCTCCTAACCAAAATATGGGGACCATATTTTTTAAATTGCGGCTACCTCCTATATTTTGGGGGTCAAATTTCTGAATCCGCCTGGAAAAAAAGTATGTTTTGTGACTGATTTCATAACTTAAATATCATCTGCACTAAATAATTAGCATATTTAAAGTCACCCTCTTGAACCATTAAGATTGAGTCCTAGAATGTGAAGATCCGATCATTAGATCAAAAGTTATTCAGATGGATTCATTTTTTTTTTGTTGCACCGTAGAGTGTTCAAAATAAAAATAAAATTTTGATCTAATGAACAAATTAATACTCATAGGTTTGAGGACACGGTACTTTTTCTGAACACATCTTTACTTTAACAGATTTGGATTCTTAACCCTCAAAATTCAAATGAGTCAAAAATCCAAATAATAAAACATAATTAGTCTCATCCTGAAAAATATGGTATCAATAGTTTAGGCAGATAAAAGTTTTCGCCACTGAATGCTAATTTCTTCATTTGTTCAAAAAGTCTTAATTTTTAAATTTCCATTCCTCAAAAACCGATTTCCTTGAAATATTATTGTAGAAATCAATATATCTTAAAATATTTTTGACTATTAGTAAATTAAGTACTAAAAACAAATTTTGCATGGAATTATCTTTACATAAACAAGTTTTATAATTGTGTTCAAATATTTCTTATTTAGAAATACACAGAAAGGAGAAACAACATTAAGAGGCCCAAATTTTTTAACTCTCCGACCTAGACTATACAAACTGTAATTTTTGCTGATTTTGTGCAATTTTTAGTGTTCGAAAAACAGTGAGCAGTGATTGGAATTTCTCATACTAAGATTAAATGGTTTGAGGGTCTAACCATAAATTAGAGTAGACTATATTTTAAGTTAGAAAATTAGATATGTAAGCAGATTTTCTCTATGCCCTTTATTGATGGATAATTGAATTTGCGATCTCAAAATTTTTTGGGTAGCTACAAGTCTAAAAATTTCCTTATAGTTTACGTAGGAGAGTTTTTACTTCTTAGTGTTAATTTGTTTTCTCATTTTACTATATCTTGACAATTTTTTAAATGAATCGAAAAAAAATTTCACACTAATATGTAAAATAATGTTTAATAACTATTTAATAATAGACAGGAAATTTTAAATTGTGAGGCATACAAGATTTTACATTTTAAAATACAAAATCAATCAAATTAAACTTTCTTGGAAATTTAAACTTAAAACATAAGTCTTTTAAAAATTAGATTATTAAGAAACTATTCATTCAATTTCGTCCAAATGTTGCGTTTTGAAAAAAAAATTATTAAAATTTTTCACATTGAGTTAACTTTGACTAAACAAATTTTATGAATTGCTAAAAGTGAAATTGAGGGGTCCAAACTTAGCGCTGTCCTTCGACCTTGAACTATTGGGACCATATTTCTCAGATTGCGGCTATCCCCTATATCAGGGATGGCGAACCAATGGCACGACGAGGCACAATATTTTGGGCACGCCACAGATCACAATTGTTATTACACAAATGTTATTACACTATGAAGCATATGTAACAGCTAAATTAAAATTCACAAAAACAAACAAAATAATAAACAATTATTAATAAAAAATTAACAATTAATACTAAAAAAAAACAAGCCAACAATAAACAACTAGCAAAAAAAAAAATTAACAGTCCTGCTTAAACTAACATTTTACAACCTAACATAAGTTATTTGTCATCGAATCTGCAACAACAGAAGTCACACTGATGTTACTTTAAGTACTTAAAATGTATTTATTTTCAATGTAAATAAAGAGTTTTGAGTTGATAGTGTTAAGTATCATTATTTTCCCATTAATCACGAAGTCAAAATTATTTGACGGCACGTTTATGACCTCATTAAGCAATTTTTTTAGAAAAAATGGCACGTTGGTGTATAAAGGTTCGCCACTCCTGCCCTATATTTTGGNATTATTAACGTTTTTCACATTGAGTTAATTTTGACTAAACAAATTTTATGAATTGCTAAAAGTGAAATTGAGGGGTCCAAACTTATCGCTGTCCTTCGACCTTGAACTATTGGGCCAATATTTCTCAGATTGCGGCTATCCCCTATATTTTGGGAGTCAGAAATGCAAATCAATTGAAAAAAGTTTTTTTTTTTTCATTCAGAGAAAGTACATTTTTGTGTCGGATTTTGTAACTTAAAACATCTGCACTAATTTAGCATATTTGGAGTCACCCCCTTGAACCTTAAGATTAAGTCTTAGAAAGTGAATATCCTATCATCAGAACAAAAGTTTTTTTTAATCCAATGATTATATAATGAGTTTACATATTACGAGTTGAATTGCTAGAAAAACTAATCTAATTATTTCCTAATATATTGTAAATTTTTGAAAATATTAATACCAGACGATGGTATAGAAATACAAAAAAACAATTTAAATCACTTCTAAATAGTAAGATGTGAATGCAATCTAATTTTAAGAGAAACTAAACAATGGAAACTTTCCAGTAATAGAGATATCCGAAGGCCAAAAAGGATGTCAGTCAACAGTTAGCACAAGGCATTTATTTATTTATTTTCCTCAAGATGTGAGTGACAAAGCCGAATTGAGACTGAAAGGGCTACAGATAAAATTTCAATGTGTGTGGCTAAACTCAGCCCATTATAAGAGTGTACAGGCATTAAAAATTTTAGAAAGTACTACTGTTCACGAGATTGTGGTGAACAATCGATGAGAAAAAAGTGTGAAAAAAGATTTGCCACTCCATGTTCTTTGTGTCTAGCTTTTAAGGTGGCTATAGTTTCCCAGCCCTACAGGTTATAGTCCTGACATTTCATCTCAAACCTGCTCTCATCGTTTTGAGAATTGATAATGTCAAAGGGTTGCAGCAAAGCTTTAAAGTACATTTTGGAAAATGCACACAGTGTCTTCCTCATCACCTTCAAATCTTACAGGAGGCAATGTATCAGTACAAGAGGAAGTTATTATGAATCCTTTCAATGTGTTGTAATAATCACACCAGTCAGTGTTTTCAAATTAAGTCATTGACATCGTTTTCCAGAAAAGCCATGATGCAACCAAAATTTTTAAGTACAAGAGCCAGACTTATATATGATATAAATATGAGCTAAAATATTTAATTGGTAATTGTGAATACACAGGATTTTTTTTAAAAAAATAAAATTTGAATAAGGATAACAGTAACTGCACACAACTTTTTTTTTTTTTTTTTTTTAAATCCTTAGCCATAAAAATTTTATTTGAATTTTTAATTAATTAGCAGAAGGAATCTAAAAAGATTCCCGGATTTCCTAAGTATAAATCACAATGAATGATCTTAAGATATTAATAAATTAAAATGACAGTTTTCTTATTTGCTTATTATTATTACTCTCGTTGATACCATAGTATACAAGGTTTTCTTCATTTAAATGATACCTATATAAATTGTTAAAAATTCACATTAAATCTGGTTTACAATATTTTCCATAATGATAACCAAACATAGATGACATTATCTTTAATTATCTTGACAAAACAAGTTGATATTGTCTTTAATATGTTAGATAAATGAATAATAAAAAACAGAAGGAAAAACCGTTAGTAACTAAACATTTTAATTTCAAAAAACGTGTAATCCCTGTTTAAATCTCACTGAGAAGTTGAACACATATATTCAATTCATTATACGCAAATTAATATAGCGGTGTTAGTACCTTTGATTTTGGGATTTGTTTCGATTGTCTTGCCAATGGCCTTGAGATTGTTGTCCCATTCCACCTCCAACTCTAGAACCTCTTGAAAATCTTCCTAATGGAATAATATTTGAAGTTCGACCCATATCAGGATAAGAATCTCTATTTCTTTGACCAGGTCTGGAATCTTGCTGTCCAAATGGAGAATTATAATCACTTCTAAAACAAACATGATAAAAAAAGTCTAAATAATACAAATTATGTTAAGCAATATTTTTTCAAACTCTTATACCTTGAAAAATAATATTTTTTTATGCAATGCACACAAGCTTAAAAACATACTTGTTACAACAAAAAGGAGGAAATAATTACTGAAATGTAATTTAAAAGCATCAATGGAATATATGCCTCGTATCTTGTCATGTAATCTTGTTTCCTACTATTATGCTGTTGGCAGTACTCACTCTTGTTTTATTTAAATTTCGTCTAACTATATCACAAAATATATTTAAAGTACTGAGAAAAAAATTTTTGTGATTGTTTAGAAATGCAGAAGAGAAATTAATTCAAGTAATAATATTATGCATTATTTTACAATTATTTGTTTTACATTAACGAAAAACAAGGCAGATATAAAGGAATTTTAGCAAGTGAGCAGCATTTATATTTTATGGAGAAAAATTATTAGACCTAGTGTTTTTAATCATTGCCAAAGATCATACCCTAATATGAAAGTTTAAGATAATAATATTTACCCCCATATCTTTATATTTTTTAACTCAGGATAGATGAACTCTTTAATCAAGCACCAGCACTAAGTCTTATTTGTTAAAAAAAAAAAATTTATATTTTCTTTAATTATATATTTTTGATTTTTTTTTCTTATTCCTTAAAAGAAAAACCTTGTAGTATAAGTCCAACAACAAAAAGGCTAATCCATGATCCATCTACCAGCATGGTCAAGAAGTTATATGCAAATTAATCAGATGAATAACAACTAATTGTAAGAATAAAATATTGTACTTCAAAATTCAATCATATATCTTTATAATGAGTTTAAAAATTAACAGATAAAAAAGGAAAATCCTACCTAAAATTATTTCTTTGATTATTTCCTGGCGACAGCTTTTGACCAGAGTTTTGATTAGAACGATTATTCCAGGCATTATTAGATATTCTTCCACTGCCACGATTTCCTCCTGTGATAAATATGTTAACACAATAGGTTATTTTGCTTCTTTTCACACAACACAATAGGTTATTTTGCTTCTTTTCACACAACACGAAAATACTTACTCTAAATTATTCCATTCCAATGAATAAAACCTTCATCTACAAAGTTGTTTGAAGTAGCAGTAACACAACAATTAAGACATTCATTATGTCTCGCATCAAATTAACAAATCAAAACTAACTATAAGCTAATTTGCATATAAACTAAAATGTTTTTGACAATGAAAACTATCGTTAACAAAACATGAACTGTTTTAATGTTCTAAGCATTAAAATATCCGAACAATCTATTTTTGTTTACTTGGAGAGCTGATCTATCTTTCATTTTAAACTTAATGCCACAAATAATCGTATTTTCTTTTTTTTTTTCTAAAAACTGTAGGTAAATAATAGCCATTTTTTTTTCGGTATTTCATGTAAAAACTATCCATAAAAAGGAAATGCTATATATTTTAATTACGTGGACTTATGAAAGCATTCAATTGCATGGAAAATTAGAAGGGGGGGATGGTCAACATAACCATTTGCATCATGACAAAGATACATTAGTTTCAAAGTAAAAATAAACACATCTATATGCTTGCGATACAAATGGGTTTCAAACGTTCAGAATATTTTTTTAATCAAATGTTATTCCCTCAAACACCAAATACAACACATACATTATAATATAAATTTTAGCAAGTAGTTTTTTACAAACTAATTGATATGCAAAAATTATCTTCACGAAATACGTTTTAAAAAATATTATTTAATTTAATTTTAAAAAAGGCACTTTTCTATTCTTGCCAGGCTGAGAAAAGAATTTGACTCAGGATCAAAAAATAAACTGCAAGATAAATAGTGTGTTATGTTATGATCAATTTGATGTTATGTTGCATATCACATTTTTTGCAACACTGATAGTTTTAGTTATGTTAATCAAACATATTACATCAAATTACAAATGATATTTCATACTTAAAATAATTTAAATCACATAATATCATAAACTATCTAACTACCTTACCTGTCAAACACATTAAAAATATTAAGTTCAAAGTTGATGAAATGTTATATAAGCATCTCACCTCTATTATTATCCCTCCTGCCATAGGGCCCTGGTGGGCTAAAAAATCTACCACCAGCCCCTCTTGTAGAAGAAAACGCTTGATTTCTTTCAAATCCACGCCCTCTGCCTCTTGTATTTTCCTAAAAAAAAATTTTTTACTGAATGAGGACAATATTATTGTAATACTTCATAAACATTGAGAATATTTTTCAAGTAAAACAAATACCTTTTGTGGTCGTTTAACTTGAGCTTGAGATGTACCTCCAGAATGATGGCTTTCAAGAGCTACAAAATCATCTACATGCATTGATGGAGGACGACTAGTATTAGGTGGTCGAGATCTGAATGGATCGTTGGCCCTCGATGTGTGGGAATTGCCTCTGTTAAAGCCACGGCCTCTCATTGGTGCAACTTAGAAGAAAAGTTTAAACAAATAAAAAATCACAACGAAGTTATTTAGGAATACTTAAAAGTTAGTTTTTAAATGTCAATAAACAAATGTAGTTCTTTTTAAATCTCATGAACTTTAAGTCAAGTCTGATGACATGCATTTAAAATAGTTTATAGCTGTATATATAATAATCACTAATATACTTAAGTAATTAACCACATGTTTATTTATTCTTAACTATATTAGTATAAGAAATAGCGTGTTATGTTGTGATCAATTTGATGTTTTTGTTGCATAGCACATTTTTTGCAACGATAGTTAAGTATGATAATCAAACATATTACATCAAATTTTAAATGATATTTGATATTTAAATCAAATGATTTTATGATGATGTACAACTCTGAATACAATTTACATATAATTATGTTCTATAGAGCTACAAAATCAATCATTCGAGATCTGTACTAATGGTACAGATTTCTCCATAATAAATTAAGACATTTCAAAATTAAATCTCTATGTGTGCTTGATGGAAGGGCTGGTCTTGCTTTTGTAATTTATGAAAATGGAACAGAGAAGGTTACTGCCAAGCACCGACTACATGATGAATGTACTGTTTTCCAGGCTGAACTTTTGTGTATAAACCTGGTTGTTAAATGGATACAAAATTCTTTTAGTGAAAACCAAATTTTTAAATATCTCATTTGTACAGATTCTCTTTCTTCACTTTTTCTTTTGCGTGACACGACTTCTACTGAGAAGCTTGTGGTGGAAATTCACTCGATTTTGAACGCTCTTGAAAACGTAACTATTCATTTTTCTTACGTTCGTGGCCATAGCGGTATTTTGGGCAATGAAAGAGCAGACCAATTGGCTAGGGAAGCTACGTGTGGTGAAATAGACTTAAGGGTGTCTGTTCCAGCTTCTCACTGGAAGCGCATCGCTAGAGATAAAATCATTGCGGACTGGAATGCTGAATTTCTTGCTTCGCCTCGGTCGCTTTGGACGAAAAGGTTCTTTCCATCCATTTTTCACCGTTTGCAATGTAAATTCTTTGCAACTGATTTTAAATTGACCCAAATTTTAACAAACCATGGAAATTTTAAGAGATATTTATTTCGTTTCCATCTGCAGACCAGTGGAATTTGTGCTTGCGGTGATGCTGATGAAGATGCTGAACATATTCTTCTTCACTGTAGTCTGTATGCGAGTGCCCGAATGAATTTAAAGACTGATTTGAGACGTCTTTCTATTTGTTGGCCACCTGTCTTATCAGAACTGGTCAAAAGTATTGAAAGTTTTGCAGAATTTTGTTTTTAATGTAAATTTGTAAATTTTTCTCCTTTTGTTTTCTACTTACAACTGTAAGCCTCATGCTATACTTTGTGGTGCATGAGGAGTTTTAAGTCGTTTAAATAAAATAAAAAATTTAAAAAAAATGTGTGCAAATTGATTCAAAATTGCAGGTAAAAATTAAAAGATAATTTAATTGAGGGCTGACTAATGCATAATTCTTCAGATTGTCAGAGAGAGAGAGAGAGTAAACCACAAGATTTTTATTCAGAAAACTCAAATTTACCTAATAGGTAGAATGTTAAGAATCAGTAAAGCCTGTATAAAAATGATTACATCGTTACAAATTACAAAAAATAACACATCTGCATACTCATTGTGAACAAAAAAACTTCAACCGCCTTTTGTTCAAACTAAAAGCAAATATATAGAAATTAACCTTTCAACTCATAAAAAAAAATTCTTAAGAATATATACACATATGTTTAAAAAAGGTCAGGCCTGTAAGTTTTAGAAAATAATTTTGCATATAAATGTAACTACATTGGGACCAACTTCTAATGACATTCAAGACTTAAGGATGAAAATTGATACAATGGTAAGATTGTTTTAGAGTGTAGATAAGGATGAGTGTATAGTTTTAACATGGGTATCGTTATAACAAAGTGAAAGTGCTGAGATAACATTTAAGATAGGTCATGTATATTTAATAACAGTTACTTTACTCTTCAACTTTTATTCTAAAAATCAAAAATTATTCTCATTTATTTCTATTTTGATATGTATTACCACTATACTACAACTATAACCACCCTTGTAGAGTAAGTAGTAACACTCGACTTTTTTTTTTATGTACTTTTTTAGAAAATTATAATGGACATTTTTAGAAAATTATAATGGAAAATAAACTCACTAAATGGTCTTTTATTGTTCACATCCACAAGAGCTGGATTGATAAAGGGAGCATATTTTCTCTTTCCACAAATAGTGCTGTAACACAAAAAAATTAAAAAAAGATATGTGTAATATAACTTCATCAACAAATAAGCAATCTATGTATATATATTTACCTTATGCCTTTCTTTTTTGTCTTTAAATCGTTATCACCTTCTGTACTTAAGCATAAATTCTCTAAAGACAATTTTAAATTAAATTCAGGAGAGATATTCTTCTCAGCAATAGATACCAAATCAACAGTTACCTACATAAAACAATTAATAAAATTTACAGAAGGGTTCAAATTTTTACAAAATTGAATTAAGAAATAATTAACTAATAGAAATATTCTTAAAAGGGCCAAAAGAAAATATTTTTATTTTATTTTTCATTTTAACAGAACATAAAATTTAATGTATAATAAATAAAAAGTGCATAGCCGTTAATTGTTCTTTTTAAATAGTATTTCTACAGCAGTTTATTTATAATAAAATAAGTGTAGAAATATTTTTGTAATTTCTAACAAAATAGCTACAACTTTCAAGACGATGAGCAAATGGCAGTCCAAGAATTGTTCCTTAAGTTGAAGCAAATGCAGTATTTTAAAGTAAGTAAGAATGAAGGTGAACAAAAGAAGTCGAAACTAATAATTTGAAAATGAAATATAAAATTACCAGAAATTACACCTTCTACTTTTAATGTTTAAATCGTGAACATAACAAAACTTTATAAATGCAGAGTAATAAGATGTTGCAAAATCAAGCTTATTATTAAGCTATCAAAAATTGAAGAACATTGATTAGAAAATCCAGTTATAAAATTGTTTCTTACCTAAATGTAAGTAAAATCTAATATTTATTTCAATTAAAGATCCCTTAAGAAAAAAAAATGTATGGAACTTCATAAGATATAAACTTTCATAAAAAGATTTAATTTAAAAAAATCAGCTGAGCTTTGATCTTAAGATACGAAGGCTGGTGGATAAGAAAAGGCTTTATGGATTTCATATATGCTACAGTGATTTTATAAATGGACAGCTATAAAACTGTCCCAATTAAAAAAAAAATTTAAAAATAAAATAAAGTACATTAAAATTCTCTAGTGCATAGAATGTTTTAAGGTAAAAGTGACATTGAAACATATGTTGATTTTTATTTATAATTAAGGAATTATAAGCACTCTTACTTGCTCTTGTTCTTGATCGGCATCATCTGCTCCAGGTAGAGACAACCAATAAGCAGGACTTAGTCTGCCTTCTTCCACTTCACCAACCATGAAAATAGCCCGAGAGGAAAACTGTGCCGACTGACTTTCAGGTGCCGGAAGTACAGGTTCTACAACCTCTGAAATAATAAAAATTTACAAATTTTAAGTGCAAACTAAACAGTTCAAAAATGGTTACATAATTAGGTAAGGTTAAAAACAGATTTAATTTGAACTACAAATTTACTTTGATATACATGTATAATCTATAAATTATAAATCACAATAGTAATACCCAAAGATTACATGATTCGCATAACATTACATTATAAGATACCCAAATAAATTATATAATTTACCTGTCAACTACAAATAAAACACAGTTAACCTCATTTACTGCAAACCTGAATTTAATGAGAAAACATTTAGCAAGAAAATTTTTTATTAAATAATTGGCTTAATGTTAAAGCATCAAAAATAACCTGTCATTACAAGAATGGTTCTGATTCAAAGAAGAATTTTTCTGTTGAAAATTATTTAATTAGAACTTTGTGAAAAAAAATTGCAATTCACACCCAAAAACAATATTCAGAAAAAAGTGCAAATTTTTTTAAAATAAATAGGCATTAGTACAAATTTATTTCTTTATGTGCATGTTGTAATGTCTAATGATCACCAAAAAAATCAATCAATCAAAAAGAATTTATGAATTATTTCAATTTGGTGTAAATAAAGAAATTATAAAAAAATAAGCTGCGTTTGATCATTTTCTAGTTCATTTTTTAACATCATAGCTTTTATTTTTTGATAAATTGGGTCAACTCAAATTTACAAATACTGTGAATCAATGAGTGAATTGTCTTGATTGTATAATAAAAACAAAGGAATACATATTACTAGCATAAATAGATATATCATGAAGTAAGTAACAAAACAAAAGAGTATCTAATACAAAACAAAAATATTCCAGAACATTAATCTACATCCATTTCACAAATAAACAAAAACAAGGTCATTTTTTAATTTTATTTCACTAAAAAGAATTGAGCAAAAACTTTATTTTATGAAAATTATTTGCAAAAAATATGTTTCAGCTACTTTATGAGTTTACAATTATATGCTATTATACCATATATATTTTACAATTATTAGGGGCTGGCTGAAGATTCTATGTTCTGTTAGGAAAAATATAATCTAACATCCAACAAAATACAGAGAATCCTCCTGTTATGGACACTACTGCAAAACATGCGCCTCTCATTACGGACATATTTATATTTTTAATTCCCAGGGAATCTTCTGTCAATAAGTCATTATGTATATTCACCGCAAAGTAGACACTTTTGCCCTGAAACATTATTTTCTATTTCTTTAAACCGGATACTTGCAAGAATAAAACTATGCAACTTTTCACCATTTTTAAAACACATAAATTTTTTTCCTTATCCATAACTAAAAATATAGTTACGCTATTTCACTACTGAAGAATCAATCTTTCTTCTGTCATCTTGCCTTATATTTACAAAGAAAGGAGAGAAAATGATATGGACAGTGGCATCTTTTCATCTGGACCACACAGGTTATGAGACCTGCAAGTTGAAATGAAGTCTTAAATGCTCTCAATGCTTCTTCCCCACTGAAAATTTCTTTAATTTTCTTATCAATTTGAAGACGAAGTAGTACTTAACACAGTTGGGGTAGAAAAAAGAAAATAGATGTATCATCTTTGTGTTGTTCGTGTACAATGAAACATTTATTCAGACACTTCATAGATGATCAATTGTGAATAATCAACTCCTTAGGTCCTCATGCCCTACAAGTATGCATTGCTTTGCTTTCTTCTGTGAATTGTGGGAGGTTAACTTTCAAGGAAGTATTAACAATGCTTCCTATCAAGTGATAGGTAGCTGTAAGGGAGTGTAAACCTAATTATTGAAACTGACTGAGGACTAAAAGCTCTATCCAGTATATGACTAACTTGAATATCTGAGTTAATAGGAAAATTATATTAATTTTTCTGTAGCTACATCTAGAATTCTTTTTGAATAGAAAAATTTTTTTTTAAAGTTTAAATAAATATCCTTGTAGACAGTTACTGTAGATTATTTAATTATTTCTTTATCTTATAAAATATTCTTAAAACAATTTACAGTGGTAAATTTCTTTATTAGGGTACCTTTCCCATAAACAGACAATTTTTTCGGTCCCAAGAATGTCTGCTTAACCGAGGTTTCACTGTATTTAACAATTTAGGTTAAATTTCTTGTGGGGTGAAAGCAATAGATGAACAATATTAATAACAATACCTTTCTCTGATTTCTTTTCTTTAGTTAAAGTGCTGTTTAGTAGCGTGAGAAGAGATGAATTGCTTTCAATTAAACTTTCAACAGCATCTTCATCATTTCCAAATTCCTTCAAATAAATAATAATAAATTTTCTTGTTGATGAAATAATTATAACAAATATATAATATTAGCATAATTAATATTATATATCAGCAAAATTATATAATTCAGTAATTACATTGTTTTATGTCGCTTAAAAAATAAAATATAAACAAAAATTTTAATTCTCTGCTATGATCAGAACTTTAAAAAAAACAGTTAGAATAAAAATGCTTAGCTACAAATTTTTTTGCTAAAAAAACATTTCTTCAAATGCATGAAATTATTTAACAGTGTTTTCCGAAGTTCTTCCACCAAGGAAAATAAAAAAGCAACAGTTTACACTAGAGCCAATGTTACCATACATTATCTTGCTATGCAGAATTATCAGAGCCTAGGAAAGTACTCGTGGCTTAAATATTTTATAAGGTAACTTTTTTTAAAAATCACCGCTTGGCAATTTTTTTCACCTAGATAAAATTTATCAAAATCAATAAATTCTAAATTTTTGCAAATTTTTATAAAATTTCAGATAAAACAAATTAGATCAAAAATGCTTTTCATTTTCACGTAATTGAGGCTATCCTTCCCATTTATGTTTTGCACCATTTCTAGTATTTAGGCACAGGCTAAAGATAGGTTTAACTTGATCTAACAGTCATAAATAAAAACTCACATTAATTATAAAAATAGTATATTATTCACAAAAAGCATTATTTTATATGATGGCAAAGCCTTAATAAACAGCCCTAATAAGCTTCATTTAACAACTCATAGCAAACTTCAAAAATAAAAGTATGAAATTTTTTTTTTTTTAAATGATAAAACTTTACATGTATGCCAAAGAGTGGAAAAATTTTAATAAAACTCAAGAATTCTAAATGTTTAAAAAATTTTAACGAACACTATCTTCTAGCTTTCTTAATTTACTATGTTTACATAAGTACACCGGACAAAAAATTAGTCTCTCTTAGAGAAATCATTAAAAACATAATTTAATAGCATGTAACACCGCCTCTGTATTCGGTAACCACATGGATTCGGGTAGGAAGTGAGTCCAGAAGGTTTTTCAGGTACGTCAAATCCAGTATAAGCCACTCGTTCAGGATTTGATCGTGCAAATCCACCAAATTGCGAGGATGCTGATTTCGGCGTTTTACCCGTTATTCCAACATTTCCCACAAATTTTCAATGGGGTTCAAGTCAGATGATTTTACACTCAATTAGTCGAGATGTAATTCTGACACTCAATTAGTCGAGATGTAATTGAGTGTCAGAGCGTTCATAAAACCAGTAACATATTCTTCCATCACGATAAACTTCGCTGTTGTCATCTTTAAAAATAGGGGTATTGACAAGACACTCTTTATGAAGATGTTGACTGAAAGGCAGCATCTAATCATCCAAAATTTTCAAATAAATATATTGGTTCATGTTAGTGGCCACCACAGTGAGGGGGCACTATCTATAATAAGAAAAACGCCCCCAAAACATGACAAACCCACCCTCTGCTTGAACCTGACCCTACAGACAGGGATGAAATGCTTCGTCTGCTCTTTGGTGCACTCGACGACGTGAGTCTTTTGAATAAAGACAAAAACGTGATTGGTCAGACCATGTTACATTTCGCCATTCAACAACTGTCAATGTTCGAGGACTTCTAGCTCACTGAAGTCGCACAGCTTTATGTGCCTGTGTGAGCAATGGCCTCTTACGAGATGTTCGACTCTAAATGTTCATTGTATGCAACTCCCGTTGCAATTTTCTCACACTAACAGGTTGGAATGGCGCTTTATTCATTAACTGAAGCAATTCCTGCCGGGTTTAGAAGTCATTTTGATTGACAAGTCGGGAAACACGTCTCCGGTCCCTTTCATGCAGGATCTTTTTCCAACCACAATTCTGACGTCTTTCGTGACCACATGTATTACACCACTACTTGCAGACACATAGAACAGTTCGCATTGAAACAGTAACAAATTTAGCTACTACATTCACCGTATGACCATCGGCACGGCCAAACACAATTCCCCCTTTTTTCCACTCTATCACATCCTTATACTTCGCCATAATTGCACACAATTTCCACTTCAAACAAAAATATCTCACTGATAGCTACTTGCCTTTGATCACGTTGAAGCAATGTGCACATAGTTGAGCACGCTACCCAACCACTATGTCATCTAACGAAACTTAATGATTCATCAGTGCTTGCGCTCTAGGGTGACTAATTTTTTGTCCGGTGAGCTTATCTTTGCTGATCAGTGAAATGGCAGGTTCCATTTACAATTTTCACTCTCACCGATTGGCACTATTTTTCAATAGATTTTTTTGTTGTAAAATCAAAGGTGTAACCCCATTCTTAAAAAAAAATTGTTAGAGAGACTGACCAATAAGAAATTTCTTCTCAAACTCACACTACAAAAAAGTTTGAGAAGAACAAGACCTCAAAGCAATGTTGCTAAAGACAGCAGAATCAATGCAGAGCTGTAAAGCAGTAAATTTATGAGAACATACCAGCCACCTGCTCGATGTGACTAGTTCTGAAGGTAAGAAAGGTACTTAATTCTGAATTAAATATATCAACTACCTTTGCATCATTTTAAAATAAACATACAGTTTTTCTTACTTAGATTTTATTTTTCTTTCCAGTTTACAAAATTTCTTTAAAAATATTCTAACTTATCCTAATCATCTTTTCAAATTTAAATAATTCAAATTAAGAATTAAAAGAGAAAAAAAGCAATTAAGATTCCGATTTAAATAGTTTATTTCAATTACTCACACTTTGGTATAAGTTAATGAAAAAAAAATTTATTTATTTTTTTAGTAAACATTCATAACTATCTTTTAAAACAATTAGATTTATACTTAATAGCTAAAAAAAATTATTATAGAAATCAACATTTACTTCTAACTGCTTAGCAAGCTCTGTCACAGGCTGGAAAGGCGCAGGTAATTTAACTTCTTTCTCTTTGTCTTCTGTTGGCGTGCAGTCACCTCTTAGAAGATCTGCTAATTCTCCACTAGATAAAAACATGGTTCTTCCACTTGGAGCACCATCTTCAAAACTGCTTTCCATCAGTCTTAAAAATTCTAAAGCAGTTGACAAAGTAGACAAACAGTCACTGGAATCTTTACTAAAAGACTGACTAAACCGGGTAAATAAAGAGTAAACTGCACCAGGGTGTTGTTCCAATCCCCTATGAAAATAAACATTGCCACAGTTTCTATACCAAATCGATCACTCAAAAAAGGATCTTAATGATACTCTAACTGTAATTTTTATTTAAACACAAAATAAAATAAAGATATGGCAGTTATTTCGCTATTAAATCACATTACTTATTATAAACTTGATCATCATTAACAAGTGTTATAGTGGATTAATATTAACAACACTATCATATGTATTCATTAACAAAAGATACAAGGCCGGGATAGCCTGGTTGGCAGGGCGCTAGATTCACTTTTGTGAAAACACGAGTTCGAATCCAACCAGCCGAAGATTCATGTTGTAAATACTGACTGTTGCAGGTTAAATCTGTCGAGTCACTAAGTTCTCCATGTTCCCATAACAAATTATATCTCAGAATATACTGAATTGGAGATTGATCGTTCTCTGATTCAGTTTAAAATTATGATCTGTGGAGGAATGAATGGATATATGAGTGGGTCCGCCCTATAAGACTGGTATGACACATGGGCGTGGCACAAGTTGAATTCTGGACCATAGATGGCGCTACTGGAAAACAAGAACAATCCCACCCTTTGCCTTAATGGCCTATGATAACAACAAAAGATACAGATGACTTATGTACTAATATTGTATATTAATATCTATAATCATATTGTGTTTGCATTTATAAAAATAAAGAATTAATTTATACCAAAAATAAATTTATCTTTTCAACCTATTGAGGGTTATCTTTTTCTCTTTTTTTTGCAATGAAATTAAGAAAAACATACTGTTTAATGTAATAATATCCATAGTCGTATTCTGTTAGCATCACTAAAGTTCGTAGAGTAGGTAGAAGTGAAGAGTAGCTATTTGTATGACAACCAATATGTTGTATTAATGCACCACAAATTAAAGGCATTTGCTCTTTACTAGGTAGATTGCTGGAAAGCTAGAAAAAATAAATAAATAGATATGTTATGATCAAAGAGATTTTTTTAGTAATAAAAATCAACTATGCTTGTCATACATTTTAATAAAAAATCAGACAGTTGGTTAGTGATTGACTAACCATTGCTAACGGGCAGCACTAAATTTTTTAAGAAAAAGAGAATTTGATGAAAAGAGGTAAGCCAGTTAAGAGGGGATATTTTCTTTATTGATATTGTTATAAAATAATATCTATTTTAACACATGAGAGTTTGAGAATTTTCAATGATATTTATTAATAAAACTTTATTTTCCGTACCCACCAGTTTAGTTAACAAATTCAGTTTTAATTAATCAGTAGCTAATTAATTATTATTGTAACTTAGAATGACCTGTAACCTAAGAAAACATAATTATATGTACATTTTTTATTAATACATAGTACTGATTTATTATTTTATAGCAGTATAATCATCTTTTGTGATAGCTAAAGATAGAAAACAGTATCCAGCACCACAGAGTGGTCTCTCATCAACTCCCAGGGAAATAAAGAGTTAAAGTGAAAAGTACCAATTAGGAAATGATTTTATAAATAAAATGTTAACTCGCTAATTTAAGAGAAAACATGGGATGGGAATGGCAGAAAGTGCTTTCGGATCAAGAAAAAATCGGTTTTGGATTTTTTTTTTTTTTTTAAAGATTGAAATTAAATTCTGAAAATATCAAACTAACTTGATATGAAATGTATACATATAAGAAATAAATTTTTGAAACCTTAATTGGAAAAAGTATCTCTTTAAAAATTAGAGTGTATAAATTTCGAAACATTTATAAATGGGCAGAGAATCTAATAATATAACTATTTTCAAAAGCACAATCAAAGGTTTAGTCTGAAATTTTTTTTCAAATCCTTCGATTTCAATGCTTCAAATTCCTAAAGATCTAGAAGGTACTTATTTTTTGCATCCCTCAAGAGACTTTGTAATAAAAAAAAGATACCAGAGAGAGCTTAAAGGAAATTTTGCTAAATTTAATGAATAGTAATGTTTGCTTAATATTTTTTCCATTTCTTACTGACACATTTTTCAAATGAAAAAATTCTTGTTATACTTTATATTTTTAAGAAAAATATATTAAATTAATCATTTTAGTATATCAAAATATATAAAAAGCAAATGTGCTTTATTAATAAGTATCTAATATTATTAACATTATGAAATAACTAATCCTTACCACTTCATTAATAGTATTTCCGCTTTCAAAAGTTATGAAGCCAATATCTGGATCACAAAAAGATTGCAAGATAGACTAAAATAAAATCGATTTCATAGCATATTAAAAAATCACCAATAAAATATTAAGTAAAATACAAAAAAGTACCAAATACAATAATAGTCAAAAAATGAAAAATTTTTATTAAATAAGAATTAGGAAACATGGTTAAACATAACATAAACGCATACAATATCATAATATAGTAGCATAACATATACTACATAAGTAGCAAAAACTTTAAAAACATAATGCCAACTGTTATGAATCAATTATTACCTTTATTTCTTCATTGTGAAGAATTTGAGTCATTTTTGTCAAATCATTATCTAATTTGTCCATAAAAGTTTTTCATTTTTTTATAAACTTCTTTCAGTTATATACTAGCTAACTTTTTTGTCATTAGAAAAAATTTTATAGTTCACCACTGAAGTGAAATATCAAAAAAATCATATATAATCCTTAAGCCATCAAAACATTTATTGCTTTTGAAATGCCAGAGCATAGGTTGAGTAAACACTCTTACTCAAACTGATTGCCTTAAAAAGTAGCTTTACTTGCTGAGTACCATAGTTCATTAAAAAAAATTCCACGAAAATTCTTAATAAATTAGTTAATAATTCATATATTGTGGTTTTAAAAGAAAAATGTAGATTTCTAAATTTAAAGTTTGAGTGACCTCTAACAGATAAAGGGGATTTTGAAAAAAAGAAATAAATGTATTAAGTATACTTACAACAATACATTCTTGAGATTGAATAACAAAAGACTTTTCAGATGGTGTATTGAAAAGTTCCAAGATGAGAGGTAAAACGTCAAGATACTTTTCGTCAGTTTTTATGCTAAAAAGAGTATAAAAAATTGAATCGTTTTGAATTTTTATTACATTTAATAGTGTTTGATAAAAAAAAATTTTAAATACTCTTGTATTAATGGTTTTTTTTTAAGTATAATGTATTAGTATATGATTCTGCTTCACATTCTTGGAGGCTTTTCTACATAAATTTTAAAATTTTAATGTTTTTTTTTTTTTTTTTTTTTTTTTTTTTTTTTTNAAATTTTAATTTTTTTTTTTTTTTTTTTTAGTTCTCCTATCAATTTCTTCAATATTTTTTCAGTGCGCAAAATAAAAAAAAACTAAAACTCCAACTATGGATCTAGAGATAAGATTATCACAGACTAACATGCTATCGTCATGGTTGATACGAAAAATGCTAATTTACTAATATAAATAATATCGAGTCATGAAATCAGATACAAAAAAGTACTTAGCATAAACTAAATAAATAAACCTTTTTTCCCTTAACAAATTGGAATTTTTTGCACTCAAAAAGTGAGATAAAAAATTTAAATATCGTGTTTTGTTGTTTGAAATTATACAAGTTATTTAGTAAAATTTTGTATAAAATTAACCTAGTTTAAAATAAGTAAATAGAACATAAAATTAAAATTACACATAAACTAAAATGAAATATTATAAAAGAAAATTAATTAAGATTATAATTTTAATAAAATTTGTATTATTCATAATTAAATTAAAGGAAACTATAAATAATCTTTAAACTAACATTTTTGCATTAAATTTTCCTTGAATAAACATGCATTATGTAATAAAATTTAAATTTTCTGAAATCCCTGTGAACATATTTAACAGAATGCTGTAAATACCCCTTAAATATGATAGACCAAAAACTCAAATCCATCAACAAAAAAACATTTTATTTAAAGAATATTTGTATTTAAAATCTTATTTTTTAGCATAAAAAATCTATGGCACAGATTTGTTACTATAGGTTTAAATGGTCTGAGGAGAACACCTCTTTAATTCATTATTACCTCAACCATTCATTATTACCTCAAACATAGTACTGGATAATCAGATCATTAAACCCAAAACTATTCAAATGTTTAAGTTTTTTTATTTTATGCTCAATGTTATCGTTTTACAAAATCTAAATATTTATTGAAGTAGAATTTCAGAAATGCAGCTTCCTTTCATTTGGAACATTTTTCAAATGATTTTTATTTTAAAGAAAATGCAATTACAAAAGTTGTGTGTTTCATTCTTTAAATAGAATTTTTCAAATTTTAGAGTACTTTTAATAGTTTTACTTTTATTAGTTTTGATTTTTAAGCTTAAGATTTATAGTATTTTTTAATATTTTATCCCCTCTATCCATTCAAATATATGAATAGGAAATTAAGTAGCGTCACATACCTTCCTTTCATAACATGCAGAAGAGGTACTTTAAATGAAGCATGAGAAACAAGATAAGCTACGAGATTTAAAATTCTGGCAGTTGTAGAAGTGGGAGTCTTTAGCATAGGTTTTACTTCCTGAATAGTAGCAGGAACTGGATCCAAGTTCTCCTTTTGATCTGGTGGAGGCAATAGTAGTGTTTCTAGCAAGGCATCTAAAACAGCTCTGAAAAAAAATTTAAATGATGAATAATAATTACTTAACAATTAGAATACATTCATTTAAAAGAAAGCGTCTCAAATGTTTGCTAAAAAAAAGTTGTTAATGAAGAAACTCCTTTTAAAAAAAAGTATTCAAAATTTTAGGATGACAATTCTTCCCTTTCATCACACCTGCATAATTGTTTGCTTCTACATTAGATATATAAAAAAGCAAATGATGAATGAATTAAAAAAAATATTATAAAAACAGACCATTTTTTATTTATGAAAGAAAACCATTTTTAATGAAAGCGGATGTGATTCCACATCAGGCAAAAATTGCAAATTGCCTTTGAGGAATCAGAATGCATTCAATAAAAGATATTTTCTTCAATAGATATCAAAAAAATAAACATAGAAGATGACAAAAAAAAAGTTTTGTTTGTAATAATTCAGGCATTATCTGTAATTATGAAACAATTATTTTTCATAAATAAGCAAGAATAATGAAAATTGAGAAACAAAATTAAATTTTAGAAAAACTAACATGGCAATACTCTGAAGATTATTTATTTTTAAACCAAATCCTCAGATTACGGAAATCACAGTTTCCTCTCACAATTCCTGGTGAGTACAAACCCTGCCCAACTCAGTTTCCTCAGTCTTCAGAGCAATGCAACTAACCTTCCTTTATCATAGAAGATTATCTTCTAAAAATAGTAATCAAGTACATAATACCCGATTCACCTTTATAAATTTCATGGTAGGAAAATTTATATATTCATTTTTTTATAACATAATTCACAAGAGTCCTTAAAATTCAGAAACAAGTTTGGTAGAATTGATATGATAGTTTAATTACTTTGTGCACTTTTTGGATGGTCCCACAGCTTGCAATTCTAGAATTGTTAATTAAGATTTTTGATGGGAAGCAGACAAAAAAGCAGAATTCATAGGATTTACAGAAAAGTGATTTATCTATATTAAATCAAATGAATGAAAGAGACAAAACAATTTTGAAGTGACGGCGCTTCGTTACAGTTGACTATCTTGAATTCACATGAGAAAACTTAATTCATGAGTGATATCCAAGTTCTAGGATTGTGGTACTGATCTATAAATAGATTAGTCCACTAATGGAGCTTTCCAATGATGTGAACATTGAAGAAAGCCGCTGATGTGCAAATTTAGCAGCCATCAAAAGTTTATAATCAAAACATTTTCTTAAATTGGTTTTCAAATCATTCAAAAGAGGATAAAATATTAAAAAGAGGGACAATACGGACTTTAGAGGAAAAAGAGGACCATTTATGGACCCTGTATTTTTGAAGAGAGAGAAGTAGTTGAAAGTGTGCAAAAAATAAATAAATACCACCTTTTCAAAATTAGCAGTTCAGTGAAACATTAACTTAAAAAATAAAAAAAAACTGATTTTGAAAAGCAATTGAAATAAGTAGAATTAAAAATTCAAAATAAAAAGTAATAAAATTAAACAGTGAATATTTTAAAATGTAAATATACTAACCTAACAATAAATGAAGCTGTTGGAGCAGCTAAATCAGCTAGTTGAACACATACGCGTCGCAAAAGTTGTTGTAGTGGATGGCAGCTTGTAGCTGAAACAATTTAAACATTCAAAATGCTGAGAAATATTAAGAGAAATTAACAATCAGATTTGTTTCAAACAAGCCAACTATGCCTTTTTTTTTAAATTCTAAATGTTAAATGTACATTTGCATTTGCAGATCTCAAAGCAAAGTTAATATAAAAGGTTTCACTGTCAAAAAAAGGGACATAGTTCTTTGATTTTATAAATGTTATTGCTACACAAACCTTTGAATTTTAAACAACCTGGTATTCACACAACATTTGCATTAAAAATGAATGAAAATAGTAGTACTGACTTACCTGCTAAACTAACTATCACCTCTTGAATAGTGCTGCTCAGGGAATGTAAATGAGCACTCCACAACTTACGATAATTAACCATTTTAACAATCTCGTCATCAGAAAGAGGCTAATTTATAATGAAAGCATAAAAACAAATTAGTATAATTCTTTTATTATGATTATGCATAAGCAAAGATAAATATTTAGAAAAGCAAAAGTAAGTCCTCACAATTTAAAGATATTGAACATGGAAAATGAATATTGCTTATACATGGTATTCTAAACAAAAAAGGGCCTGTTTAACACTTGACTCCACCTGGTGGCATTCCGATGTCAAGAGAGTAACAGGAGTGGAGTTTGGTATCATTAGGTTAGATATAGGTTTTTCAAAATATGAAACACTTCCATATTTTTTCAATCTGAAACATACTATTTTCTCGACATACCTCAATTTGAAACAGTTTGTACTCCACTTTAAATTTGCCATTGCAGTGCTATTTGTAAATCAAACAGCAATAACTTTCAAGTTAAATTAGGGTATTTTTTCCCATAGAATCCAACTTTGCATTAAAAGAAAGCAGTTACAATTTTATGTTATTCGAACCCCATTCCGTGAGTTTGGGGGGGGGGGTTGAGTTTGATATTATTGAACACAATTTTAAAAAATGTTTCCTGTTTGCAGTTTTAGATATTTGTTCTGGCTCATCTTTCTTGATTGATATTTTATAATTTCCAAACTATTTGGTCAACTTATGTTATAAAATAATTTATTTTAAAACCAAACAAACATTTTACCTCTCTTGTCTGCAATGGCAGAGGTAATGGTAACAGTTCAGACAATACTGTTAAACCAGTAACAAAGTTACTAGGAGATAGACTTATAAACTTCAACACTTCCTGGACCATTTCAGTCCATAAACTTTTGCTCAGAGCTGTAAAAGAAAAAATATCACTTTACATCAAGTTAAAACAAAAATAATCAGTAATAAACAGCGCAAAACAAACACATAGCTAATATTTTCACTTTAAATAACTACTAACAACTTTTCAGGAGAAAAAAACTTATTAATAAAAATTCTATAGAATACTGTTGGAGACCAGAGATGAGTTAGCAAAAACTATTTTCAAGTGCATAATATTTTTAACATCAACAAAAAAAACATACCTTCTTCTGACTCTGCAGATCCTAAAAATGGTTGTGTATAAGTTAAAAGTGCTTCAATAATTTCAGCTTGAACCTAAAAAATTTTAATCAAAAATAAATCAATATTCTAATACTCAATTACGTTTTAAGAAGTTAATAGTAAAATTAATTAAGTAAATTCTTACCATCTGGGAAAGTTGGTAAGAAAAAGATGTAGGTGGCACAAGAAGCATTAGAGAAAAAACTTTTAGAAGAATTGGAACAGCTGTTAAATCCTTGAACTGCAAAAAAAGATTATAAAATTAAGAATTTATATTCAGAAAGTTATACGAAATAACATTCAAGTTTGGAGTATGATTATTTTAAGATCTAAAATGAAATATTAAGCATTATAACTGATAAAAATTAAGATGTGAGAATAGTAATTGGAAACAATGTAAAGTAAATTCTAGCAAACGCCTTTTTGGCTAAAAGTAATACATATTACTTAGTAATACATATTACTTAGTAGGCAAACTACAGATATAGTCATATGCACCAAAGATAGTTTTAAAAAATTACATAAATTTATAAGCCTTAATTAAGTCAAATAATTAAAGGAACTCAGTAGTTCATAAACTAGATTCATATTCATAAAGAAAGCTACACAGCATAATTTATTTTTTCCTTGTTGTTGAAAAGTCAACCCAATTTTGAGATTACAACTATCAATGCTTAATTCCGTAGCTTTGCAATTTTGAACCCAATCCAGAAGACAAGGGTACTCCTGGGTCAAGCATTTGGTACACCTTTATTAATGAAAATAAAGTAAAGATGATCTAACATTAAAATCATTTTAAATAAGAGGCTTGCAATAGTATAGAAAATATCTTAAGTTTCTGGAACTAAACAAAATTTATTCAGCAGTGTTTTGAGTCTCAACCTATCTATTTTTACGAAAAACAAGACAATTAAATGTTCAGCTTAACCCACTGGCAGTTAAGGAAATGGGCAAAATTGGGAGAATGTTTCTCCCCTATCCATTAGCATGGAAAAACCGGTTCTGCTATGCAGAGAAGACTGCAGGTTAAAATGCGACTTTTTACGTGCAGAACTGTCAGTGGGTTAAAAAACATTTTAATCCAGAAAAGAGGCTTTAAAATCTAATATGCAGATAAAAAAAAAATTTTTTAATAAAAATAACATGTAGTTTTGATAGTTTGATTTTAGTTGAATAAAGCATAATCAATGTGAAAAGAGAACATATAATGTCATAAAATCAGAGATATAAACACTCAACCAATATAATGTTAGCACCTTTATCAGTACCAAAATCGAAAAGGAAAATACAGAAATGCAGAAGTTATTACATACAAAATTTTTGCTTATTCAAATTTGTTTTGATATTCTCAATTTAATAAACAATAATTTCTATTAGATAAAACTTACTTCTGTGCCCCGACTTGATATTAGGTGAGCTAAATTTGACTTCATTATGAAAACAGAAGGTTTTATAATGGCAACAGTTAAAACGCCTTGCAAACCAACTAAAGCTGGAGACTGGTGTGATGGTTTTAGAAATGTATCACAAATATTCTAAAAATAAAACAATACTTTTTTGTATAAGCAAAATATAAATTATATTTCAGAATGCAATACATAATACAAATTAATTTTAAGGAGAAATTAAAATTATTCTAAAAATACTATATTTTAATACTGTTTAGAACATCATTTTAAACTCACTATATCTTATATAACAGCCCAAAAAAAACTTTAAATAACATTTAAAATAGAATAAACAAATGTCACCAAAAACAATAGAATACATATGGTCTAGTTTTATTTATTGAGCTATTGGGTAAAAAATTAATAAGAAAACATAAAAAACAATAATAAAGCAACATCAGATAATTGAGTATTTCTTTAGGATGAAATTTACCTTGAAATCATGTCTACTTTTTGCCAAAATATTTTTTAAATATAAAATATACATTTATTCATTTGAAATTTATGTGAAAAAACATGCCAATTAAGTAATTACTGAGAAATTTAAGAAATGTTGAAAATTATCTAATTGTATTATCTAAGGTAACTAATATGTTTAATGAAGTAAAAGATAATCTAAAAATTTGCATAGGTACAGATTGCAAGTCTTCATTTTCTCAGTATTTTATAACCGTCATTGAACAGTCGACCTAATTTTGAGTTTACGACTACTATTGTTCAACTCTGAAGCCTTGTAATTTTGAACCCAATCCAGAAGACAAAGGAACTCCTGGATAAAGTATCTCTGAAATTTTGCCTTCATGGAGGACTTTTAGATGGAACAAACCCGCATTTGCATTACATGGAGAGGAAAACCATGAAAACCCCTCACAGTTAGCCTGACAGCAAGGGGGGACTCTAATTCATTATCCGTCTACCACCAAGGGTATTGTACTCTGGTCATTGTGAGCCAGGTGCGGAATTCGTATCAACCAGTCATCCGGATTCAAACCCGATTCACCTAATTGTTAGGCAAGCCAACGCTCTATCCCCTGAGCCACTACCCTTTTCACAGTATTAAAAAATATATATTTAAAATAAATAAAAAATTTGAAATAAAAAATATATAATCATCAAATAAGTCAAAATGAAGCTGGGAATAAACCTAGCATTTAAAAATTACAAAGTTGAATTAATCTATAAAAAATAATAATAATAAACATGATGCTGATGTAAATTTAAAAAAAAAAGAATATTTTTACAAATTTAATTTTTTGACAAAAGTTAGTCACATTTTTAACAAAATGGAAAAGAGCTGAATTTCAAAGTATTTTATTTTTCATTAAAAGTCTAATAAAATTGTATAAATGTTTGATTTCGTGAAAACTAGTTACATTTTTCAAATTTCTAAATGATAATTGGTCAGCATTAAATAAGATCAAAAATTATAATATTTAATAATTATTAATAGTATGTATTTTCAATAAATATTTTGGTTGAAAAGTCATACAATTTACACAAAGAATTTATAAATATTATAAATACTGACAAAAAAATTAAAAGTGAAGATTCCCAGTACACACCTGAAGAATACATTTTAAACTATCCATTCCATCATTTGCAGCGATTTGTATTACAGCATACATGTATTTTAATTCCACACGCTCATCACCAAATTGACCTAAAAGATATAGAAAAAAACAAACCGTTCGTCAGATGGAAAAGCAAAAATATATTGCATATTGTAAGCAAGCGGCTACTTATTTATTTATCGAAAGAAATTATAATACAAGACAAATCACACAGAGAGATAAATAAGAGAAGATGTCCCCAACAGGTTACACAAAGAGAAAAAAACATAATAGTGAACAAGCCATTGTTGAGAGATCTCCTTTTAAGTCCAGAATTAAAGTAAAAGATTTATACAATAATTAAAATATAATAATAATATTTAATAACCTATCATTAATCATAAGATGATATTTTTTAACTGTTACGTATTTAAACTATGCAATAGATGTATTTCAAGCACAAAAATATTACAATACAGAGGCCTCTCTTTAAGGATGTCCTGGAGACCAGATTCCAGTTTTCTCTAACTCACACATTCAACTATGGTGAAATACATGAATACCAATTCCCTATTAACTAGGCCAGTAACTAATATTTAGGAATATTTCTTGTTTCATTTTATTTATTAAAATGTATTTTATTGAACCTAATTACCAAATTTTAATTATGTTTTAAGTCTTTTCTAAACTTTGTCAAACTTTACTTAACTTATTATACTAATTTCAATTTAAAAAAATATTTAAAACTTCATATTTGGTAATGAAAATCCATAAAATAAATTTTGATAGCTAAGATAAAACAAATGAATAAACAAAGAACCGGTATTCACATAATTTTCCATGCATTAACATGAGAGATGGGGGAAGTAGAACCTGACTCCAGGACAACTTAAATGTGGCTCGACCAAGACGAGTTTCGGTTGATAAGATATTTGTGGCTCCTACCACTTTTTTACTGTAATTAATTTTAGGAATATTTCTTTATGTGTAGTATTAATTGGATTATGACAATAAATTTCATGTATCTTTATGTACTTCTTACAACACAGCATTATTTCAGACAGTTGCAATTAGAAACATTTGTTGTTTTATCAAAAATGTATATTCAATCATATGCGACTTTCAAACCAGTATAAATATATAAAGGTTTCAAGAAAGGAGCAATATATATGTACATGCATATAATCTTGCTTATTGAAGTTAGCATTGGAATATCCAACCATCAAAACTTGCTGAAAGATTGATGGCTTTGTAATAGGTTAAAGAAAAATCAGGACAATATTTTTTCAAAAAAATCAGGACATTTTTTGGAACAGTTTACAAAAAAAAAACAAAAAAAATTCAAAAGTATATATTGCTCTATTTAATAATAGAAGCACACTCAACTGCAAGAAATAATAAATATTACCATTAAATTTTAAGAACAAAAGTTTTTACAATTTCTCACATAATTTTAACAATGCGGAAAAACTCATAGTTTTATAAAATTAACCAATATCAATTAGATAATATTCCTTCAAACCAATGCTAAATTAAATTTTATAACTGAGTTCAAAACATCTTTTATTAAATAATTTAAAGCAATTTTTTTAAAATCTTGAAACAGAAACACAGTGAATATGCCATTCAACTATTTTTGTGTGAAAATAATTTTGCAAGTGATGCCTTAATTAACCAATTGAAAATTCCATGATACGGTTTTTGAATTGTTTATTGGAATCAATTCTTCTTAATATCAGATAGGGAAAAATTAATTTAAAAAATAAAAAGCCACACTTTACAATATTGGTTACTACATTTGCTGATAATAAGAGTAGAGAATCAATCAATCACACAAAAATTGAATCAATCACATAAAAATTTGATAATGCAAATTTGTTCGTTTTCATAAGCTGACTGAATTCCCAAAAAAGTTTGAAATAATGAATTTTGCAATTAGAGCAACGGTCTGGACTAAGTATTTATTTGTAATTAGCGAACAGTCCCTGAGTTTGAACAATCAAACTTTTGCGATTATTACCAGCATTATCAATTAAAGTTAAAGAAATTTAGATCAATAATTCAAATCTTTAGATTCTACATATCAATTGTTAAAAACCCAAATTTGCATTTATAGAAAATGGAATGTTCTAAACACTCACACAAACCAGGAATATCAGGAAAAAAAGCTAAAAATCAGGACAAAATATTTTTTTCATCAAAAAATTCAGGAATATAAGGACAACTACCAACTCTGCACTTAATAATAAGAAAGTTTTTAAGATTACCTTGTGGCAAAGAAACATATTGCAAAATCCGGAGGGCAGTTATTAACTCTGGTGGTAGAGAAGCAGCATCATCCTTATGTGCTTTTAGAATAGGCATCAATGCATTAACACACTCATATGTGTAATTCGAAATTGCCCGAGTAGGAGCCATCCATAAGCCCAAATCATGAAGTTTAGGAGTGATTTCTATGAAGTACATTATGTAATAATAAAATAATTAGTGAAACACTTAATAATCAAAAATAGGCATCTTAATTTATTTATGGACAGTTATAAAATTACTGGTAAATAATTTTTAAAACAAAAAATATGAAGGTATGAAATTTTCAAAACTATCTAAAGAAAATTATAACAGGGTACCCACTCAATTTGAGAAAAAAAATTCCCTGACTTTTCCAGGTATATCAGGTAAATTTCAATGAAAATCAATACCATATTTTATCTATACTATGAAATTTTTCATCAGAAAATTTTGATTCTTTTATTTGTAATGCCAAGTATTAGATATTCTATGTAAAATAAATATTATTATCTGAGGAAGGAAGCATTTCAGTTTGTCTAAAATGTGAAATTATAACAATAAATAATTGTAATAGATGTTGGAATTATTTAACTGGAATCTCAACAACTGAGTAGTGTTACTGGCAATTTTAAGACTGGTTTTTTTTTTCAGGTATAATGAAGGAATTTTCCAGGTTTTTGTAAAAAAATTTCAACTTTCCCTGAGTATGAGTGATTTTTGGAGTTGAAATAAAATTCCCTGAAAATTCCAGGTTTTCCCTGTGCTCCCTGCCCCTTGGGAACCCTGTTATAAAAAGAAATAAATATTATTTTCACTATGTGAACGAATGGAAGACAATATATTTTTACAATGTCAAATATTGTATCATTACGTTCATTGTTAACAGTGATATAACATAAATACAAAGTGATGCTACCTGTGGGATGAAAATTAATTTAAGTGTCTAATGTGAGAATAACATGTTCTTCCATTAATTTCTTTAATTATAGCTGCATGGAAAATAATTTCCATTCAATGTATTTTTAATAATTTATTTTAACACTCTATTATGAATTTATATTATTTAAATTATTTCAATGAAAGTTCTAAATCGAAGAATATTATCATGATCCACAAAAGCAAAAATAAAATTCCAGCCAGAATGAATTTTAAATAATAGGACAATTAGGAAAAAATTAGAGAAACACAGAAAAATATCTATATTTGTAAAGAATGCTTTTGTGAGAGTAAAAAAATTAAAGCAAATTGTAAAAGAACTACCTTGCTGACTTAAGTTAAAAAGAGCATCCGAAAACTTTTCTAGAATCTGCACATCTTCTGAGTAGTGAGTTACCAACATCAAAAGTTCAGTCACATAACCAGCACATGATGATTTACTTAGTTTTAAATCCCAGCTTTCTTCTCCTAAAGAAAACATTAAAAAAGTTAGGTTAAAAGTTACTAATTTTAAAAATATTTTAAAGCATTAATGACCACAGTACCTTTTTGGAGACAGTTCAAAAATTACATCATGAAAACAGAACTATTTTTTTTGGGCGTAAATTTTACAGAAATTATTTGCAGGCGTTCACTTTTTTTCAGTTTTATAAACTGTTACTTTTAAATTTGAAAATAAATGAATGACAAACAATTAATAATGTAAAAATGCATGCAACATTGCTTCATAGAAAATGCAGCATTTTTAAGTCAAACTTAAAAGTAGTTTCACCAATGCCAAAAAAAAGGTTAATTTGCTCAACTATTTATGAACTAATTTAAACGAAATCAACAAATATTTAAGATAAGGCAATTATAAAAATTTATTTTTTGTAATTTCCCACACTTCCAGATTTTGGCATTTCTTATAGCAAATTTTCATTACAAAAGTACAAAGTAAGAATACTACACGCAATAGAGCACTGCGTTATGGCGTAAGTAATATAATACATATAAATAATTATAATCTCAAATAATTACAATTATATATAATTACTGTGCTTTAAAGCATAAGGATAATAATAAAATATGATCTGAAAATATAAACAGGAGGGGTAGAAATTTAGGCTTAATACCATTTTTATTTCTAGTCAATTAATTTCATATTTGTGCACCTATTCCTTCAATGTTAGATTTTGAATTGATACATTTATAAAAATCTATATATAAAAATTTTAAACAATATTTTGTTTTAGAATTAATATTTTAAATATCAATTAGTAAAAATTCTTCTTTTTTCAATAAAATAGAAAAAAACCTTGCAACAAATGCAACCATTAAATAATCCATTAAAAATATATATGAATGAAAATATATAATAAATGAAAATTTTAATCAATTAATCAAGTAAATTTCACTAACCAGTTAATTGCACAAAAGGCAGAAGTGCTCGTAAGTTTTCAGAAGTAGTCAAAACATTGACTACAGCAGGACGGCCGATAGGAGAGAAAATCATAGTATACATGTGGTGGAGTACAGAAACAATTTCTGGATCATCAGGTGCTTTTTTAACACCACCTAAAAATTTTAAAACAGTAACATGAGAAGCAAATCATGAAATTAATTTATTAAGCAAAACGAGACTTTAATTCAGTTTTGTATCACATCAGAAAAACATTTTAATGAGTGCGAAATTAGTACCAAAACAGTGCAGCTAAATTTTTGATTAAAGGAAGAACATAATCTAAGATACATTTTTTTCCCCTTTCAAATCAGTTCACTTCTCATATTCAATTTCCTACAGAAAAGGCTAGATGCATGATCAGAAAGTATTTTAATTGATCATTTAGTAGTTTGAAACTAGCATTAAAATAATGTTTCGTTTGATTTAGAAGTTGTATAAGTCCACATAATTGATGGCTGGGTTGCACGATGTGAAGATTCCACGAAATAACTCCATCAACTTTTCTTATTTAAATTGTAGTAGTGTAATGCACACATGTGTTACTCTCTTTTGAATATTATTATTAGTTTTTATAATAGACTATTGGTGAAGTTCTAACATGTCTAAAAATAATTCATTAATCCTTGCCATGCAAACCCATTTTTAATGCCAATCAATATTTCAAATGTTATGAAAATATTTCAGATTATTTGAAAGTGAAAGGATTTTAAATTTATATACATTTATCAATAAATAATGTATTTAACAAAACACACCGGTTGTAAACATGAAATTATTATTAACAACAATTTTAAAAAATGTTAGATCAAACTATTTCAAAAATAAAGATTAAAAATCAAAATTAATTTAAAAATTTAGTAAAGAATATTTAAAATCTTAGAGATGCATAAAAATAAATAATTAAAGATAGCCCACAGTATAAAAATATAAACTTGAATCATTTTTATCAAGAAATTGTCAAAAAATTAACTTTCAGTATTATTAATTACTATACCTCGTTCATGATAAGCCAGTAAGGAATCTACATATAATAAGGTTTGTAAATGATATGCGATTTGCATTCCTAAGTTTTGTGCAACACTTTCTTCAGCACCTTCTTCTCTAGTTTCATCCTATTAAAAAGATGAAATTTGGACATAAAGTATGAAAGAAATATATGTTGATGAAAATTGTAGATTAGAATAAAATCTAAATTTTTCCATAGTTTAAAAATTATAGTTTATTATGTCACTACAGTTTCACTAGCCAAAGCTAAAATTTGTAGATATGTGCAATCCACAATTAGCCTCCTTGCTCATTGTTTCATAAAAAAAATTAAACCAGTTTATTAAATTAAAAAAAACAATATGGGTTCATACTTGATCTTAAGATTTTATATTACTTTTTTTAATGATGTTGGTTTAATATATTAATCTTTATTTTTGTTGCTGCAGTTGTCTCTTAATCTTGTCATTGTATATTCACTTCTAAATACAAATTTTTCAAATGTGCACTTATTTAGATCTAAAAGAAAGAGTTATTCATCACTGAATTTCTTTAATTTTAAAGTCATTATTGATATATTTATAATTATAAATGACAAAAATAAATATANTTCTTTTTTTAAATCAGCAGTGGGGACAAGTGAGGGAATGACATATTGGTATATTTTAATTACCTAAAATAAATAAAAAATAAAAATTGATAATTTTATTTTTATTCCTTAGTTAGCCTGCATTCTGAAAGACACTTTCCCTGAATTTTTTTTTATCATAAGTTGTAAAACATGCATAAATTATACTGGGGACATGAAAATGACTGTTTTTGTGAGAATGACCCATATACACTATACAGTTAAAGAACTTAATAACTCAAATAGATTAATTCAAGATTTAGAAATGTAAAACTGAGTTCAATCCTTAAACTTGAAACACTATAACTTAACTAAACTAAATGACCACTATTACTAACAGTAAACTAAACACAAGAATTAGTTAATGCTTTGTGTAAATACTTACAACAGAATGCAAAAGTGCTCTTCCAATATTGTTCATAAGTTCAGAATTCGATAAAAGAAATAACATTCCTTCTTGTGTTGAAAGAAATTCTTGAAAAAGATCTTTTATAGCTGATAAAACGTATGGATGTCCAGACAAAGCTGGAGAAGACAGCAAAACAAAAATGTTTTCTAGAAGTTTGCTATAAACGGGAGGGGAAAAAAAGAGACTATAATCATGAAAAACTTGCAGTATAGAATTAATTTAAATTCAAATAATAAACAAAGTTTAAGAAAGGTGTTTGCTTGAAACAGATTTATTGAAAAAATTACCAAAATGTGACATTATAATTGAATTTTCAAATTCCTTAAATTTCCAATCAATGCTCTCTGTTTCTCAGGAGAAAAAAATTTAATACTAAATTATTTTTGGACGTCATTGTTGAAACACTTTATTCCTAAAAGTTTTTAAGAGCTAAAAGAATGAGAAAAAAAGTCTCCATAATATTCTTTCTTCTGTCTAAACCAGTTTGTGCATTTCTGGATAATAAAAAAATATATCGACCTCAATTGTTAAAATATCTATACAAATTAAAAAAATTTTAAAAAAGCAAGAATTTTAAAAAAATTTAAAGTTAGATTTGGTAATCAAGAATAAATTGAGCAAAATTTTCTTAATAGCAAAAAAAGAAGAGAGAAATCTATGTGATTTATTCTTTCTTCTATCTACTCCAGTTTCTGCCTTTCTTAATAATACAAAAACTCATTCTATATGTATAGATATTTTGTTTATACAAAGAAGAAATGTCGATTATGTAAGTAGTTTAAAAGAAATTAAGTACTTACAATTGATATAGTTATTATAGCCAGAACATAATTTTTATAAAATATTTATAAGAAAGAAAACTTGTATAAAATTTTTTATCATAAACGATAAAAGTCAGATTTTTAAATAATGAATATTTTCATATTTATTGTTTTATACATTCATTAAAACATAGATCATTACAGAATTCAAAAGAGACATATCTATGCTATGCATTAAAAATTAACAACTTCAACAATAAAAGATTATATTCATACAAATAATACTTACTTTTCTTTAAACATTCGAAGCAATGCAGGCTGAGGATTATCAGGAGATTTCTGAAATTCAAACTGAGATCTGGCTGGCAAGGATCGTTTCATTTGAGCCTTAAATAAAAGACAGTTTATGGCAAACACCAAATAATGAAACTTTCTTGATTAACTAAAAATACATAGATAAAATAAAAAAAAATTTAAAAAAGTAAAGAAAAGGAAAGCGAGATAACTACTCTAAGTTTACACCAAATAATTAAACTTTCTTGATTAACTTAAAATACATAGATAAAGTGGGATTTCTTAAATAAAAAATAAAATTAAATTAAATTTAAAAAAAAGAAGAAAAGAAAGAGAGAGATAACTACATTCAGTTTATTTTTAAAGATGTTTAGAAAACTATACTGTGATTCTTATGAAAAATAAATAGGATTGCCCAAATGACAAGGACAGGTGTCATAGAATCAGAAATACAGTAGCAATGACAGAGATACCATTCAGAGTTATAAAGGAAACTAAAAGGATTGTACCTAGACTACATGTGATTAATAAATTAGCTGACAAGTGAATGTAAAGTCATGTTAAGATGGAAGAATCCAAATCTGAACAATGCAAAATTACATAAATTTTAGTGGCAAAAGGTAATTGCATCATCATTTTACTCAGAGAAAATGTCGCACACTTGCCAGAAGTGGTAACATTTTGATTAACCAGAATTACAGCAACACTAGTAAATTCGAAATCAAGGTATGCTGTTTGTTGCCATTCATAAAAATGTTTACAAATATAATACATAGCTTTGCAAATCTAATAGTAATGTATTTTCTGAAATTTAAAACAAAATTTAAAAATCTCCTACTATTTTTATGAAAACTGTTTGAATAATCATAAAAAGAATTGCAATGGTTGCCCTCCATCAAAAAAAAAAGATTCATAGATAAAATATGAAACATAGTAGGAATTTTCTCTTTTTTTATTATTTGTTTGCCTTTTTAATGAGTTACTTAATATTTTATTTTTATTATAAAATTATATGTTACATTTTTGTAGCATGCAAACAATATTTTATTGTAATACATTATAAATTATTTTAAAATTTGCATTTTGTTTTATTAATTTCAAAACTTTGTTTTTTATAATCAAAAATAAATGCTAATGATATTTGGTACAGTGAGGTGCATAGTGGAGGTTACGGCCCTAGCATCAAACCAAAGGGGGCATCCAATTGATGACTATGCTCAAAAAAGCATTAAATGTATTACTTTTTTTATTATGAAATTTTAAAAAAAATTAACAAAGAAATATTTGCCTAAAGTAATATAATTTTTGAATTTAAAAATTCATTTCTTTTAAGAAGAAAAAAAAAATTTAATATTTTAGGGGAAATAATAAATTTACCTTGAAATAAGTCTTATTGTACATAAATATGTACTTATTGGGACAGCCTTGGCCTGTCATAGGATGTAGTGCCCAAGAAGAAGAAATATGTATAAAATATTTTTCTTAACTAAACTAGTTTTTTTCCTTGCAGCATTTATACTTCTTTCTTTTAGGGCATTCAATCAGAGTTAGCACAGAGAATCTAAACATCTCTCTTTGCAATAGTCATTTTTCAGTAGTGAGGATTTCAGGGGTGATTGTGAGCCCAAGTCAAAATTCCGGAAAATTTCTTGAGTTAAAAAAAAACAACATTTTAAATTGAAAGAAATTTAAACAAGGTTTTTTTCCTATATTTCTTAGTTTACTTAAAATATATTTAAAATTTTACACATACCTATACCATTTACACATAGCTATGATGACCTGGAGAAGTAATTAAAATTTACAAATATGTATTTCTTTCTCGAGTTTATGATTATAACAACTATTTACTGATAAAAAATGAATATTAATCATGAATATAAGCTTATAAAGTATCTCTCTGGTTCTCCCTTACAAACAAATAAAATAAACTGTGTTTTTAAGTTCCACCTTTGAAAATTTGATTTCCGGAAACTTCTGTGATAAATGATATTTTGAAACGTCTGGACCTTCGATCTCCGGAAACTTCCAGATCACTTTTAGCGAAAATTCCGGAAATCCGGATTTTTTCCGGAGCACAATCACCCCTGGGATTTATACACAACAAATTTTGGATCAGCCTTGGGTCTCAATAAAATCTAAATGTAAAGAAATAAAAAACTAACCACATTCATCCAGGCATTATGATATGAGGAAGTCATTTCTTGCAAGCAGGACACGATCACCTGAATTAAGTTTTCACCAGAATTGGAGACTGCTTCCAGAACTTCTAAATCTGGTTCAACAGAAGCTGCCCTAGGCTCACCCGCATCTACTGAGTCCTCGGAAACAGTAATTTTCGATTCAGGTAATTGAGTGCTCTGGATGACTCTAGTAAATGGAAATAAGTGATAAGATATTTCCTTTGGAATGAGTAGTTACATCAGGAAGTCATTAAGAAAACAATTCTTTTCAATTAAAAACTATTAATTTAAAAGCATGGAAGAATCTATAAAAGGCTCCTAAACTCTGCAATTGGAGTTCCAAGAGCTTCACTTAACACATTATTTTATTCATGACTTCACAATAATTTACTAAAATTGTTTATAAGTAAACTTGTAGAAAAAACTAAACGTAAATCATTTAATGATAGTATTAATTTAACTAGACTCAGTCGCGCGACAGCCCATTGAGGGCCAAGGACTACTGTGCCCATCTCAGTTTTCTTGACCTTGGGCTCTGGGGTGCAGGAGCAGATGTTCCGGTCAGGTGGTCAGCCGAACGGCGAACCCCAGTGTTTAGTTCCCAAGCATGCCTGGTACTCATTTATTGACCCACTGAAGGGATGAAAGGCTGAGTCAACCCTGCCCGGCCTCGACGATCGAACCCATGACCTGTGGCACGATAGCGTGATAGTATTAATTGGAAAATGAAATTAAGGAACTCAGGAACTTAAGGATTTCCAAAAAGGATTTACAACTTAACTGAACTAACCATGACTTGTTCTTAAAAATCAAAATTTTAATGTTTAAAAATGTTGCTTAGCATGTTATTTTAATAAGCTCAACAAATTTAGACACAAAAATATTATCACACATTGGGTTTTGTGCGGCTAGTCGTAAAATTGAAACTACATGGAATAAATAAAATTTTAAAATTTGGTTTTTGATAATTTATAACTTGCTTGAATACATCAGAAAAATTACTTAAGATACATTTATGTTGCATCAATATCCCAAATTAAGCATTCCTTTATAAAATGACTTTAACTATTTGCATGCACTGACTTAATAATAATTTTAAAGCAAAAAATAAATCAGTTCCAGCAATATAATAAAGAAAACGAAAAAAGAAATACAATACAAAACGTTAAAATAATCTAATTTATTTATCATCATTTCTACCAAGGGTAATTTTAGAAAATTTGTAAGAAGTAAAAGGTATAAATCAATAAAAGGATAATGTCAAAAAGCTGTGATGTTATGGCTAATATCTTTCAATTTGCTACAATCAAGGATATTCAGGTTGAAAATGTATTCAGAAAAAAACAATTACAACCAATTTAAAAAAAGATGGGTTTAATATGCATTTTACAATATTAATTTTTGTATGCAGAAATATAATTAAACTGACAGGGATCGTAGATATATCCTGACAAACTAAGACATTGCTTTTAAATTAAAATTTGGTACAAATTTATTTCAATGCTAAACTACATCTTTTTAACTGAACCACAAAATAATTCTTAATTTAAAAGACAGAAGTGAACAAAAGATACTCTAGAGGCTAGTAAAGTAACTTAGAAAAGTTTATGATAATCATCATTAACCATTATCAATCCAACACTGGATGAAGGTGCCTTTGCCAAACTTTTACAAAAAATTTGATCTGCTGCTTTTGCCTTTAAGTTTACACCTGCTACTTTTCTAATTTCATTAAACTGTCATGCTTGCAGTTTTTTGATCCCTTTTTTCTGACCCAGAACCAACAGCTAATTTAAATATTGAGGGCAACTAAGTACTTAAAAATATTCTAAGAATGAGTGATTTATCCATAAAAATCCAATTTGTTATTCAAAAAGAATATGTTAAAGAACTATACTCAATTAGATTCAGAAATACAAACTTTAAAGAGCTGTATCATGTAACGAACGAATTTCACAAAACAAAATTTGAATTAATGTTCAACTTCTCTACTAACTTAACTTCACTTTAATAATTATTGAGATGCTGAATATGAATATAAGGTAACACAGTTAAAATCGCTGCTATAAAAATTGAAAATCAATAATTAAAACAACAAAAAAAGTTTTTTCAAATTGAGTTTTCCTTTTTTGCTCTGTTTTACTTGTTTTCTATCTCATTTGCAACTTGTCCACATTATTTCAAAAATTTGCCAAACCTTTGTTTCATAGTTTTAAAAATATTTCCACATGATTCATGGGCTCTAGTAATACGCAATGATTAAAAACTTTTGTCTTTAAAGACTCAGAATAGCATGTAATCACTATTGAAAAAGAAAATCGCAGAAAAATTTTAAAATATACAATCAATACTACTAATGCAAATTTTAATGAATTTGAATACTAACTTTTCTACAGAATCTGATAGTTCAATAAGTAATTCATAAAGATGGATTTTATTCAATAAAGCAGATATCGATACCACAGCTCTTGTTAACTAAAAATAAAAAACCATATTAAACGATGCTTTTTTCACAAAATAATTAACAATGAAAGCTAAATTATAAACTATGTACATACTTGGTTAAAAATATATTAAAAGTCAATTCAATATTAAACAGGAAAAAGTTTTAAATAGAAAAAGTTATTCAGTAAATATAAAGAAGCACACAACAGAACATTATTTTTTAATTACATAGTTAATAACAATTACGAAGCTGCAAATAAACTAGGGTATAGACAACTGAAGTTTTTTCTCATCTTTAATTACCAATTTGTGTAGGAAACTTCTCTTTTAGTGTTCATAAATAAAGCATACTTATTCTACTGCAAATACCTACAAATATTGCCTTTTTTTAAAAAAGACTAGTACCATACAAGCACAGTATATTGAAACACAGATTTAAAGTACATAAAACACAACTTTACTCAACTGTGAACAAATTAGTATTTTTCTTATTTTGTTTTCTTTAACAATTATTATCTGAAATAAACAAATATGAAATAAACAAATACAAATTTCTTCCATTTTCCCCTCCAAATAAAAGATTTTAATGAATAAATGATATGTAAATGAATATGTAGGAAATTAAATGTGTGATATGTGTGTGTGATATAAGAAATAATAAACGTAACATAACATACATCAACTTACAACAATTAATAATAAGGAAAAAATCCAATAAAGACAAAAGGAGTTTTCATTTTAACTTTTTTAAATACTCAAATTTTTAAAATACATACCGGTTTAGATAATAATAAATCCAAAAGCCTTTGATAGCATGTTTTGGTTGAAATATTCAAGGTGATATCTAAAGAATGAAAATGAAAGAAAAAGTTACATAAAATTATTAAAGGTAATTAAAAAAAGTAAAACATATACAAATATTTTATTGCATCTAAATATAAGCAAACAGATACACTATATTTTGATTTTCTTTCTTTTTTTTATATTAAATACAGATAAACTATCAACACAAATAAACTGTTCTTCATTTTACTACTTTGAACAATTTTAATAACAACAAATTTCTATTTCAGTAGTTAATATTACTAAACATCATATCTTAAAGAGCATAGAAACTACTACATAAATATAGAAAAAGGTTGAAATTTTAATATCAAATAATTAAAAATAATTTATTTTTAAAAAACAATGCAATCTTTGTCATTAAAATAAAATTGTATAAAATAACTACTGATTAATCATTTTCAATAATATAAAGATATGAAGAAAAAGGATTATAAAAAACAATTAACACTATTAACCACTAAAATCCACTTAATAATTGAAGGTTTAAATTATAAATACTAACAAAATTACTTAAAATAAGGAACAAAAAATTAGACCAAAAAAAATAACCTCTTGAATAAAATAAGTTCAAATATTTTTTTAAACCTATCAAATAAACAATCAATTGGTTTGTATTAAATTCTCTTACAGTATAAACAATTTAAATCAGAATTTTAAATTCATAGACAATTTTTAAACAGACAATTACAAAATATTTGTTTAAAATCTTGAATAAAAATGTGGCAAAACAATGGGTGATATTACAAACATATAAATTATTAAAATAACCGTTTTTTGGTATCTCAGTTGTTTGCTTCACAGCAAAACTTTTAGCTGGAGGTATCTGCAAAGTTTTGTGAACCACATATTGAAGTCCAGCTTTTGTGGATATTACTGCATCTATGCCTCGTAAAATCAGCAGCTTGACTGGCAGAACCATATATGGTTGATCAAATAACTGTAGCAATTTTTTGGGAATATCTCTCTCCTAAAAAATGAAAATTTACAATATTTCAATAATAAGATTGTCACTAATAACTAACATTTAAATTTACAGCTTTTTAAGGCATACCTGCCAAGTCTTCAGGATTTCGCGGAAGATTTTATATATAATGTAACACGAAATTTCTATATTCATTTTTTTCCAGTTTTAAAAAAAATTTTCATTGATTTTACCTATCATTAGATTTAAATAGTTTAAACATAGTTATAGCAGGTCTGCTAGTTATTTTATTCTGTGTTTGCTAAATAAAAATAACTTCAAGGCAATTGCTTCAATTGGCATTTCACAACCAGTAGAAAGAAGTGCCTGCCTTCCAATGAGATGACCAAGGTTCGAGTCTCAACGTGGGCTGGTCAATACAAATTCCGTTCCCTGTTTGCACTGATTAGAAGTGAGTGGTAGAAGGATTATGGGTTAGAATCCTTTGGCCATCGGGATAATCGTAGGAGGTTTTCATACTATTCCCTTCCATATAATGCAATTACAGGTTAATTTCTCCAGAAAGTCTAGTTTGTCCCAATACTTGATTCATGAGTGCCCTTGTATTTGGATAGGGTTCAAAATTACACAGCTACAGAGCTGAACATTGATAGTTATAAACTCAGAATAATAAAATAAGGTAGTAAGTTGGTAATAAAATAAAATAAAGAATATCACTAGGAAAACACTTATTTGAAAAGTGCAGAAGTTGGCAGGTAAGCATACTTATCAGGACTATTTTCAAATTTTTTAGGACACTTAAAACATAATATTATTAAAAAAGATTTAGTTTTAAAAGTAATAATCTCAAAACAAACATATTTTTGCAAAAAAAATATTTGTTTACATTGAAAATTTAAATATATATATATATATATACTTATGTCTGAAATTTGGTAATTTTATGATAAATACATTTAATATAGTCATTTTAACTAAATTAAACACATTTTTAATGTTCATTACAGATTCACAACAGCAAAAAAGGAAAAAAAATATGGTAGATGCAGAAGCGCAGTTAACTAATACCATAAGCATATTGATGACTTCTTTATTTGTTTGGAACATTAAAGTTGCTAATCGAATGCCTGCCTTCAGGTGACGAACTTTGTACGCCGTTTGGGGTTGCTTCAATGCTAAATCAAAATCAAGTCCTTCAACAATCCAATCAACAATCACCTTGATGATATCTATTGAGAAAAATTTTCCTATATAGAAATGCTCTGTATAATTGTTTAGAGCAAGTTTTAAAAAAATCTAAAATTATAAGTTTATGTGTGGGAAAAGTTAAAGGTCACATTGAACGATTACATTTCATAGAAAATAATTGAAGATCAAGAGAAAAGAATAATATACTATGTCCATGAAAGTTGATTTTGTGAAACAATGAATTTCAAGGTGGAAATAACCTTGTGTCCCTACCTAGGCCAATTTTCACTGTGTAATAACTGTTAGAGAAAACTGATTTTCTACAATTCTGATTCGCCAAAATAAAATCCTAATAATCCCTAAAATGCAACAGATTTCGGAGTAAACGTCACTTTTTTAAACAGTGGACAGAAACCATTCTTTCCCTTTGAACTTCAATTGCGGTCTTTATAGGCTGTTACATAATCCCATATTCAATTACCCTGATTTTAAGCATATAATCTATTTGTTATGCACACTGATTCTCTATTTTATACTTCAAATTTACGCATTTTATTTGAACATTAATTTACAATTCATGAAAATAAAATTTTAATTTCTAAAATACAAAATAAGTTGAAAAATTAATGAAAAAAAATTTTTTCAAACAAAAAACATTTGCAATGTTACCTTATTATATGTCATCTATTTTTCTCAAATGTCATGGATATGAAAAAAGAATATAAGAAGCAGAAGTGGTACGATTACTGCTGCTATCATATTCATTATAGTGACTACATTGCTACTGTGTAAATGAGAACGTGACGGCAGTCCTTTACAAGACTTTAGTTTATAAAATAAGTAAACAAAATAATTTTATGGAAAGTAGAAATTCTAGTAAAATGTGTGCAGATTATCCTTTGAAAACTGTAAATAAATTTATGAAGATGTAATAATTTTTGATAAAATATATGAAGCAATAATTGATACAGATAGCAAAATTTCAAAGATTAGTAGTGAGCTTTATAAAAAAATTGGCCACACATAAACATACATATATTATAAACCATGAGAAGTATGTTACAGGTATTAAAGATGAACCAAGATACTAGATAGATCTATTCTTATGCCTCTAACTCAGGAAAATATAGTAAATCACTATTTGGTTAAAAAAGCAAGTTTTGAAGAGAAGCTAAGAAATTACTCTTAACATTATCAGCAAACTTACCTTTTATTTTTTCTGAGTTCTTTAAACTTAATAAGCCAAACAGAGATTCTTCATTAATTGCTTCTAAAACATCAACCCACCTAATAAAAGTAATGAAAACTTCGTAATTCAAAATATCAATTAAAAATAAATAAAAAATTAAAAATGATTGAGTTGTTTCACAAAAATTTATCTAAAAAACAGTGATTTTTTATAATATTTCAATGAAACATTTCAATGTTGAAAGATTTAGAGTATAACTATAGTAGAGTCATTAAATTTCATGTCATATAATCATTATTAATTCTAGAGAGAAGTCATTTTAAACTAAACAAACAATATTGTAAACAAAATCTGGTGTTAAAAAGGAACCGAGCAGAAAAAATTAAATAAAAAAAGAAGCTGGTGAAAAAAATATATAAAAGTTGAAATGAATATTTACTTAGTAACAATATTTTACAAAGAGTATCTGAGAATTTGAATAGAATTAAGATCAGAAATATTCGAAGCAATAAAGAAAAAAGTGGAAATTGTGAAACCTTTTTGTGAATCCCCAAATAAAACAAAAAAATTAAAGAGTAAAAATAAAAAAAAATAATAATAATTACTTTTATTTTCTAAATCACAGATCTGTTTTAAAAAATTTTATTAAAATCAAATCAGAATTAAAATAGTTGACTTAAATTAATAACACTTTTCACATAAGTACTGCTGAAAAAATAATTTTATCAAAAATATGACACCTTTCATCATGAGGTTGATCATCAGGGTAAATGAATGGTGCAAGAATGCTTTCAGTGTCTTCAACTTGATCTGTTTCAACTGACTTCTTAATCTGTTCCTTCTCAGAAGCTTCAAACAGAAATAATGTAGGATCTGAAAAATGCTATTAAAAAAATAAATTTGAGTGAATGAAAGAGAGTTGGGAAAGGACAAAATAGTTTTTTTTTTAAATTTCTAATTTTTGTACGAAAATTTTACAAAAATTTAATGCTTGTTTAACAACTTCCCAGTTTTGCCCGAACACCGTTTGGGTACTTGAAAAGGAGTCTTCCCTGTTTTGCCAGAGCGCCGCTCGTGCGACTGATTTTTTTACTCTATTGCAATGATTTGCCCAAATTTTTTCTTTCTTTAGTTTACAATGTTTCTAACAGATGGCTCTGGTAGTCCAGTAGAGGTATGATTGCAAAAGGTTTTGGCGCTTTTCTTTTATGCGGGAAAAGACGTGAATTTTGTTTTCACTAGCTTAGTAGTAAAGCCAACCTTAAGTAAAAATGTAATTGTTTTTGCTCTAAATAAAAATTAAAATTATTTCATAAAATCAATAATTGTAATAGTTTTGACTCTTGATTTGAGTTTATATAATAGATTTTAACAGAAATTTGTTTCTTAAAAATATGCTTACTTTTTGACCCAATTTGCCAGAAAAAAGAAGCTGTTAAGCAGTTAAGTGAAGAAAAAATAAAACTTTTTTTTCAAATTTTTCTTTTTTTTACAAATAAAAATACTTTTTTTTCTTTTTGAAATATCTATTATGAAAAGAAAATTTAATAATTAAACTCAAAGAATAAAATATTGTGTTCAAAAGTTAAAAAATAAGAGTTACTTTTTATAACTTACAGCTTCTTTTACAGAAATATTACTAAATAACAATCAATTCAATGGTTAGCAAACAATATTCTTCCAAAAACACAAATCATTTCAAAAAACTAGAAACAATAAAAGTACTAAATACCTTCTGTTACCTTTTTATTCTTTCAAAATTAAATAAAACAACAAAATTTATATTACAGTTCAGTTAAACAAGTGGCTTGTAAAGTTTCCAAAATATAAAGAAATAAATTTGAAATCTCTCCTTTTGGTTTAAAATAAAATAAAAAACAATAAATAGACATGGTGATAAGATGGCCATCATATAGAATAATCAACTTTTTATTTTTTAATTTTGCAATATCTTCAATATTAGGACCCAGGAAAGATCATTGAACAAAATTAATCAATATCATAATATTGGCCTAGGGAATTGAGAAGAATGCCCACAGAATAAGGATGTGCTTGCTTAAAGAAGAAAAAAAGAATAGAAAGCAGTAATTATTAAAAATCACATTAAAAAAATAAGAATTAGAAAAAAAATTGGAAATCTAGGCAACAATTTAGAGACTCAGTTACTTTAGCTAAAATTCATAAATTAGGTCCAAAAGATTATACTTCTAAAAAAATAACTCTAATTGAGTTCAATTACAGAAAATAAACACATCTATACAACTCAACTGCAACATCGATCATAAAAAACTAAAATTAAATAAAATTTCATTTTAAATCTCAATATATTGGAAAGAAAAACTCTGATCACAAGTCACAACAGATATTTGGTTAAAGAAGTATAACTACCTAATAAAATTAATAAAATGCAAAACAAAAAGAAATCAAGCTCATAGTTATAATAAATTTTAAAAAGAGTTAAGTAATAACATACTTGAGAAGCTGTGAGCTCACAATTATAAGGTGAAAAGCTTGACATAAACTCTGTCTCATCACCTAAATCATAATCTATATCAGCCTGAAATGTAATTAAAAAAAACAACTAAAATTACTGAAGATTAAATAAAAATATTAATATTTCCTTTTTTTCAAAAACAGTCTTTTTATTGTTTTAATAATAATTAAATACCATACGTCTCAGTGCATAAGTCGACCCCATATTATTGATTACGAGATAGCGAATTTCTGATCTGTCAGGTGTATAAGTGGTTTGATCTAGAACAAACCAATTGGGAAAATTTCTGAAATTAAAGTGCATAAAAAAATAATTTCAAAAGTCTGAAAAATTGTCTCAAGTAAAAAATCGCATCAAAAACGCTTACAAAAACAGGAGATTTCTGAGCTGCTCTTAGAGATATCATGCATTAAATGATATTAGGCACATTGCAAAAGGTGGATGTAGATGTTATTGTAAAATTTTTTGAAAAGCGTGGAATTTTACATTTTTTGGATGAGGGTGAAGACAATTTTTTTATGGGAGACAGCGAATGAGGATGATGTAGAATCCATAGCAGAGTGTGATTCATCTGATGACACTGAGAACGTTTGTGAATCCAAAACAGATGATGGTCCCAAAATTAATTAATTAACATATTAAAAATAGTTCCTGAAAAAGGCAAATTGATACAGAGATACTGATACCTATATAATTGCTTATAATGCATCGATATTTCACAATCAAAGAATATTCAACTTTATTACTAACATATAAGTCAACCCCAGATTTTCGTAGAATTTTAAAGGCTCGACTTATACTCTAATATATACAATAACTTTATTCTTGAAATTACTAATACTTTTTTTACACTAAAAAAGACCTAACTTTATAATTTATTTAATTAAACATAAATGAAATTCAATAGCTGCTGAAAATTTAAATGAAAAAAGGTCATTATGAGTAGAAAACCACAATATTTTTTATACTAAACAGCAAATTTGAAATAGAATTAATATTTTCTTACATTACTCAAAAGTTAAAGGAAATTTTACTTCATATTGATATTACTTTCATTATGAACAAAAAAGAAAATTTCCTTACTCAAAGTAAGAAATTCTCAATGAGCACGAAGATATGTTTGAACAAGCTCAATCTCTAAATAAATATGTTCAAAAATCACATGGAAAAAGCTCACTAAGTATGGAGAATAATCTTAATTGAAATTATAATCAAAGGTACCAGAATTGTAAGATCATGCATTGTAATTAATTTTAAATACATGAATGAAAATAATATAACTTTTTTACAAGTTTTTAAAACATAAAATTTTATTTAAGAATGATTTTAACACTTCTGTGCCTGAATCAAACATCCTACAATTGTACAAAAAAAGCAGATTTAATATGGAGTTTTATTAAGTTTTTTAACAGTAAATGTTTAATTGTAGAAACTTTCTTTTAATGTTTTAATTATTTTAGAAAGATTATATTTTTTACTAAATTCTTAATTATATGTATTTTTTTCTCTGACAACAACAAAAAAAATCAAGTGAATAAAATACTGACAAATCACTGATTTAAATACCCTACATTTAAGAGCAGTCTTTTCTACTTATCGTCATTTCAACAGTAGCATTTTTATTAAGAAATTTTATTTCTAAAATATACTTATGCACATGGAGGTATATGCATAGGGTTTTTTTACCTGAGAAATTCTGTATAATTTCTCAATATGACAATATATAAACCAAATAACCACTGGCATATCGATCAAAAATGCCAATCAAAGCGCAGTTATTTACCATCTTCTTTTACTTCAAAATTTAAATAAAAATCTGAAAGAATTTACTACTTTTTTTGCAACTACTATTGTAATATTTCACAATTAAATGTAGCAAAAATAAAAATATATACACTGTTGGAAAAAAAAAATAACTATAGTCACTAAGTAAAAATATTATATACGCTTTGAACTAGAAAAATAAAGCATACAAAAAATTACCATATCTAATACAACTCTATCTTCAACATCAGACATATCTTCCTCTTCACTCACAATTTCTTCATAACCATCATCTTCCTCCGTGTTATCGCCTTCTTGAATTTCACCTTCGGATAAATTATATAAATGCTCCCCAGGAACACGCTCCCGCTGAACAGGTTCAAAATAATTGGTATGAAGGATTTCTTCCGCACCTCTGTCCTCATACGTATCCATTGGTTCATCCTCTTTAGGAGTTCTAGGACCAGATATCAGTTTTTCAGTGTCAGGTGGCGTTTGAGGACTACGAGGTCTCGTCTTTCGTGGGGACGGCGGCGTTGTAGGCCTCTTAACGTCTCTCACATCTTTGCGATTACCTCGATCTACGTATGGACGATCTCTATTTCTATCCCTGTCTCTATCTCTGTCGCGACTACTGGGATCTCTGTTTCGATCTCGATCTCTGTCCCTGCCATCTCTGTACCTATCCAAATCGGCAGAATTTCTCTCCCAGCTAGTTTCTCGAGATCTCCTTCCCCTGTCTTTTCTCTTTGAATCATGATCTCTCGACCTTATATCATCGTCTTTATAATCGTGAATATCTCTGTCCCAAGGCCGATCTCGGTTGCGATCCTTATCCTTATCTCTGTGTAAGGAGGGAATTTCAAGAAGGGCGGGTCTAGGATAGGAGTCATGCTCGTGGCTAGGAGCATCACCAGGACCATGATGGTCTTTAGGATCCCACAATTGTCTGCTGTTATCAGGTGGTGGCTGATATATATTACTGTCTGTGGGTCTATTGTATAATTGATGATCATACTGATCAGTTGAGGCTTGATATTGCTCCTCTTGGGGTGGCCAAGGTTTAGAATAATGTGACTCATACTGTCCATAGGTTGCAGGAGCTGCTACAACCTGTGGTACTTGAGCAGGGACACATTCTTGATATACAATTGGGGGTGGTGGTTCTGAGAAGTTTGTAATGACACTTGGAATCTCTGATTGGTAGGCTACATGTTGTTCAGGCTGATGACCTAAGGGGGGAACATCTACAAATCTAGGAGTGTCAACAACAGAAGAATGAGATCGAACTGGCAGAGGAGGTGGTTCTGGTGGCACTTCTGGAATTCTGGAGTTACGCTCCCAATCACTAATTGTTCCATCAGCGGCTGGTGAATCAAAATCCTTATTTGAACATAAATCTAAAAATATCATTGCAATGTTAGAATTTATTATTTTCTTTCAATTTGTTATTTAAATTTTCTTTCAATTTCCACTTTCAGTGGTAAATCTTTAAATCAAATATTTGATTTAAAGATTTAAAACAAATAATACAGTTAATTCTCGATGTCACATATTTCAATAAATGACTTTTTAAACATCACAAAAAAAATCTGGATTTCCAAAATGTTAGCTATTTGAAGGAAAAAAACTTTTTAAAGTTGAATAAATTTTTAAATAACCCTCAATTTCATGAAATATTTTTGATTGCAAAACTTTCTTTCCTGATTCCTGAAAAATTTAAAATTCCTTTTTTAATTGCAATTCTTGAAAAAGTTCCAAGAAGTTTTATGAATTAAGTTTATGAGCTAATATTTATGAGGAGATAGTTACAATGGAAAATAATCTTTCCGTAAAATTGTGGTGATAGGGATAAATCAGGAACATCTAAAGAAACAAAGTCATCAGGCAATATATCAGAAAAAGATTATAGCAAAACAAAAGAACAGCAAAACGCAAAATCAAATGAAAAAGCAAAGATATTGAGATAAATTTTTTTGGAAATAAATGCCTACTCAACAACATTTAAAATGTTTATAGTTAATACAAGTTTATGTATTGTTTGGCTGATCAGATAATAACTGATTAAAATATTTAATTTTTGATAGCCTGAATTTTCGATAGTACAAAATTTCTAGTGTACTTAGTTCCAGTTTGTAATATCAAGATTTGACAATATACAATAATTAAAGATTTCAAATCATAAGAAAAAATTTAAGATGAAAAATTGAAAATTGATGAAAGATGAAAATTATAATACAAAAAATTTGCTTCAAAATCAAGTAAAAAAGTATTCATATATACATTAAAATCTTTGTAAAACAGGCACCCTCAGGATCATGAAAATTGCATGTTTATAAAAGGTTTCCCTTTTAGGAAAGGATTCACTGACTGAGAAATTCTATTGTTCTAAATAATTTTAATTAAAATGCTATAAGAAATTTAATAATAAATTATTATAATAATGAATATTACTAAATTATAATGGTGTATTTATTTTAGCTAAAAATATTGTTATAAATTTTTGTTCATAGCATTGTTTCCTGAAGTTAAAAGACTGTTTTTCAAAACTAATGAGTCCAAAATCACTGTATTAATCTGAAATCTCAACTCCTTTTCAAAAGACATTCTGTACAAGAGAAAGAATCATTAAGATTTTTATGCAAGGTAACTAATTTTTGAATTGATAATTTTAAGCGATTTTCCTGGGATTGAAAAAAAAATTAATTAATATTTGAACATTACTTCTAAGTGAAGAACAGATGAATTAGCACTTGCCATAGATATTAAAATACAATTACCAACATGTGGAATAATATGTATTATGAAGGATCACAGTAATGGGAATATGTTTTAAAGATTATAAAATGTACTGAGTATATTAGCATCAAAAGAAGTCAAAAACTTTTGTTACAAAAGCCTTTATAGTAAATTGGAAATCAAAAGTTCATGAAAAATTCATAAACTATCATAAAAAGCTTTTAAAAATATTTTTTTTTAAAAAAAGGATTAAATTAAATAAGTATAAAAGAAAAAAATATGAATCAAACCGCACCAAAATATTTGTGTAATAATATTAACAATAAAGGCAACATAATAAAGGTATTGTATTAAAAAAAAAAAAAACATGATGTAAAACCTTGTGAAGATCCTCTAGAAGTTGCTTGTGGGGGAGGAGGGGGAGGCGGAGATGATCGTTCTTTGCTAGTTGTTTTTGCTAGTACACCATATACAGCTAAAGTGACAGCACTATACCATCCTCGTAAAACTAATCCATCTGTAGGGATCTGAAATTATAGGGAAGAAACATATCACTGTATGTCCCCCTCAGATTTATGCTTTCAATTTACATTTTAGATTTCTTTACATATTTATAAATCTAGTATTCTTACCTTAAAATAGTTTTAAAAATATTTTATTTTTTATAAACATAAAGAAACATTAAATTATTGATTAAAAATTCATAGGCAATTTTGTTTCCTTCAAAACTTCCATACAAGCAGAGTTCAAACATTTATATTACTATTAATTTTAAAAAAAGTATTTTAGGCATTTTATCTCTCCATAAAAAAAAAAGTTCTGTTACAAGAAAAATTTTCTGAGCAGGCTTTTTACTATTACAACTGAAAAACTATTCGATAAAACTAATATGAAATTTTGCACCTTTTCAAAGAAATGGTTAAAAAAAAAAAAAAAACATTCTGACATCAAAATTTTATTAATGCCAGCATAATTTTTTAAGTTATTTTATGCCAAAGTTGAACACTATTCCATGCGCAGCAAATCAGTTTAGCGCAAATTATTAGCATGATCATTGTGAGTTTTTTACAGCCAAGAATAATGCATAAAATGTGTAACTTGTTTCATTTTGTTTAAGTTCCAAATCAGTCTTGATGGTTTTTAGAAAATTTTAATGTAAAAGAAAAACTTGCAGAAAAATTGCAATTTTTTATAGCCATATACTGACACCACATGACAGAGGGTAAAAAACTTTTGAATTTTTCCGAAATTTTGATTTAATTTCAGAGTTATTAGATTTTACATTTTTTTATATAATTCTGAAAGGTTAACAGAAGATATTTTTTTTCCATATTATGTGAAAAACCAAAGCCAAATGTTCTTCTGCCAATTAAAAAAAAATTATTGGATTATTTTATCAGGACATATTAATTTTTATATAAACAAATAACTTCAATTCTTCATATGTTTCTAAAAATGTTTATCTCTTCCCTTACTCACTTAAATGAGGCATGTGAAAAGTCAGACTCTTCTTACCTCTTTTCCATATCTTCATTTACTTTCAAAGAATTATTTTTAAATTTAAATCACCTCAATTTGAATTTTTAAACATGTTTACTTTATTTTAAAAAAATTTTATATTGAGTTAGATAATTTAAATGTATTTACTACCACTTAATAATTAAACAAGTAAATTTAGTTTTTAAAATGTTTCAGTTCAAGCTTCAAATTAAATTTAATACATAATTATAATTTTATTTTGAATTTTTGAATCGATGAGATCAGAAAGCAAAGCAATCTGAAAGCAACTATACAGCAAACTTTAAAGTTTGGTGAACTGAGTCGGGTTACTGAACAGGGACATAGTTTTAATATAATTTAAATAAGAGACCATAAGTTTTTGAGTCACTATGCGAAACTTAAAGATATTTTATTGATGTTTGCTGCTTTTTAGGTAAACATTTTCATAGTAAACTGGACAAGTGAAAAGAACAAACAAAAACAGTAAACTCCCGATTATCCATTTTATTGTACATGCTTCTGCATCCTTGCTAAATACAAAATCGTAGGAACCACAATGTTTTTTTCTTCTTTCACATGTGATTTTCACGAGCTGTGCCAGATGCAAAGAAACCCTTTTGTTTCAAAATTTCAAATAAACTATAGAAAGAGAAAAAGTTATCAAAATAAATTTTGTGCATCTCAGGTTTTGAAACAACGCCAAGTAACTTCAGAACGCTTGTTCCTAATGGCATATTTTGTTGATCCTGTTAGCCTCAACACAATAAAAATAATAAAACTCTGAATATACAATAAAAGTCTGAAACCTTAAGTAAAAAATGTTTTTTCAAATTTTGTCTATTTCTCATGCGTTTGGCCTATAGTGCATTAACACACCATTAAATTTGAATTAAAAAATTTTAATTTTTTTATGATATTTTAAATTTTTTTTTAGAACTTATAACTTTAACCCATTATAAAAACATATAATAAATCTCAAGTGGAATAATTATAGTTTCAAAAAATGGACTTTTCAATTAACCGTTCAAAGTTAAAAAACTAGTGTGTTTAGAAAATTTCTCAACAGAATGTATTTATTAACAGAATTGAATTACTAATATTTTATAGATGTCTTCAGAACCCTTAACAGCAGCAAAATAAAATTTTTGAAAAACTTTCACCACAGTATCAATAAAAAATTATTTATTAAAATGAATTCTGCATAATGAATTTATTAAATTTAATTCTACAGAAGTTAAAAACTGTAGATGCATAAATCAAAAAATGAGGTACATAATGTTTGTACAAAAAATATACCCTTTAAAAATGCTAGGCTCACTAACGTATTTTTAAAAAATTGTAAGTAATGCTCTTTCATATAAAATTTTTATGAGCTATGGTAAATATTATAATTTAAAGCTTGATGTACTTTCTGGATAATAGTGCTTTTAAAAATATTTATTTCATTTGTGTCAGCATTTGTAAATTTTTACACATTAACGTGCAAACATTTATGCTTTTGTATAAAATCTAACTTGTCTAAATATTACAATTTAAAGCTAAATGTACTTTCTGGATAATAGTGCTTTTAAAAAATATTTATTTCATTTGTGTCAGCATTTAAAAATTTTTGTACATTAATGTGTAAACATTTAAGTTTTTGTATAAAATCTAACCTGGCTAAATATTCAGAATGAGATTATTGATGATCAAATTTGGCAGAACAAAAACAAAATATTTAGTGCATAACTACAAATTAAAAATTCTACAAATATTTTTTTTAAAAATCAAAACCAATGAATTTACAAGACATTTTTTTTTTTTTCATTATTAAAAAGGTAAAAACACAGTTTCACAGAAGACACTAAAATTCAACTCAAAGTAAAACTTTATAAAATTAAAATTTACCTTGTTAGGAACGGGAAATTGAATATCTACATTCTGCTTGTAATCTAGACTAAAGGAAAATAAAAGAAAAATTCAATATAAATTTATCACAAGAAATCGATATGTATATAGACTATTGTATCATGTACAGACTATTGTATCATTTGAGTAAAAATGAATTTAAAGAAAGAAAACTCATGTCTTCATGAAATTATAAAAAGATAGCGGTTATTTTAGACACTATGAACTTTTATGAAGCAAGGGTAAAGAATCCACGATTTAGCTATAATAAATTATTGTCAAGGTCTATTTTTTTAGCCTTAAGTCTTCAAAATGTGTTGATAATGTAATCAAAAATGTCTTCTTTTTTATAAAAACAAAACATTACAACAACCATATAATAATTTTTCATTTTAGCTGATTTTTAAATTTAATTAAACAGTTGAAGAAAATATCTCTAAAAATAGAAGTTACAGCTTGGCTCAATGAGAAACTTGCTGGAAAAAGGATATTAGCAACTATATTGAGGTGAAAATTAAAAGAAATATAATCTAATTTTTAAATTATAAACATGGTATGGCGATTTATAAAAAACTGTACTCTTTTTAACACAACAGAAATTTTTACAAATATTATTAGAAAAAAAATATTTAGTGTAATGCAATATCTTGAACAGAAAAAAGTCAATAAAATTTTACTCTTACCTTCCTAACCTTTCAAAAGTAGAAGCACTTCTTTTACTAAGGTCATTAACAAAGAACTCCAGTTGAAAAGATGAAGGATTAGTAGCTCTAAAAAATAGTTTCAGAATTTTAATCATAACCATAATTGTTACACATAGTGATAAATCAATTTAAAAAAAAAAAAAAACACCAATTAAACTATACACGTCTCAATACACATGAACCAACTTAACCTGACTCACGTTCAATGAACATGAAATATGAGAACAAATAAACTTCGGGGGGGGGGTGGAATAGGGCTGATACATTTTGCTGAAATAAAAGCAGGGAAATTGGATTTGCAGGGGTTTAAAATAGTATGTACTATTTTCAATTTCAATGATTTGTTTCATATTTTCATTCATTATTTTTTTACATACTATATTATTTTCAAATTATTATTTATGCCTCTTATATTTTTGTAACACTGTTTTATTTCAAAAGTAATTAATTCCTATTACATTTTCATTCATTTTGCTAACTGACTTATTTTAGTTATATTATTTTAGTTTTGCTCCCAAATTAAGGAAATTTACTAATTTATTTGATTGAGAAATTTACAGTATAATTACAGAAAAACTAGTTTAGAAGATTAAATAGCATCATTAAGTAATGTTAATTTGTAAAAACATTGTCATTTTTGTCTTAATAGGAGATAACAAAAAATATAGCCAACTGTGAGTGACATTACCATAAACTATAAGTCAAAGTTATGCTTAAAATTCAGCTATGTCTTTTAATGACATTGATGAGCATTATTGGATGTGTACTTATTTTGGAATAAAAAATTAAAAATTAAAGCATAAAAACATTTAGTCTGCTAAAATTTTTATTTTAACAAAAATGTGGGATATCACTTTTACGATTACCACTTTCTCCCAACAAGCGTTACATTATTCATTTAGGGTCAGACTGGCCATCGACCTGAAATTGCAATTTTTCTCTTTGGCCCTAACTGTTATAATGGGGTCTTCTTGAAGATGGGGCCCTGGTAATCAATATACACTTAAATTGAAAAGTGTAAAGAAAAAATTTAACATAGCTTTAAAACAGATTTTATTAATATTTCTTTCATTCTTATCATAATGAATAAATTATATTTACAGAACTTTTTACAATGAATCTGAACACATTACTATTTAAATTACTATCACAGCCTTATGCAAAATATGTTTTGAAATTAAATTCCGACTACTCCCAACAAATATTAAGATCAAGGCGGTTTTCCAACGACAACAAAAAAATTAAATAAATGGAAGATAGAAAAGAGAAACTGTTTGTTCTCTGAGTACTTTATGATGTTTTAACTAATGTAATACAACATAAAACTACAGAATACAATATTTTTATATAATTTATAAAATAATGTGGTTACTTATTAATAAGATATAAAAAATTTATATTTTAGTGTGGTAACTTTTGATGTACACTTAGAGGTGATATTGGATTGCAAGAGGTTAATGCAAAGTGACTCTTGATTGTACGAATTATAAACACAGGATTTCCTTCCAGTTATGTATGTATTTCATAGATAACACTGTTATGGACCAACAAAAGTAATTCAATAATTCTTTGCAACAAATTCAGTTTCCTAGAGTAGGGAATTTACTATGTAAATTAAAAAAAAATAGTTTTTTAAACTTAAACACAAAATATTTACTTTGTAACAGAAATAGTATAATTCTTGGAAAATTTTAAAATTAAATTGGTGATTAACAAAATCAATAAAACCCTGCATTCATGGATGGCTACTAAGAAATTTTTGAGAAAGTAAGGAATATAAATTGATGTATATAACTTATTAATTATTGTTTCTTAAGAAATGCAAAAATTTTAGTTGCATTATTTTTTTCTGTGCTTAATTTGTAAGCTTTATTTACTTATTCAAAGACAGTTTCCTTATTAAAAGTAACAAAACAAATTTCTATAACAGCTTTGAAAATACCTTTTAATGATACAAACCAATAACAATAGATTTACATTCATTAATCTAAGTATATAACAATAACCTAAAAGAAAACAATCTTGAAACTTTTTTCTCTATGTTATTTAATACAGAAAGGTTGCTTTTAAGGATTTTTTATTCTAATTTTGTCTTAGATAATTAGTTCTTACGAACAACAGAATTTGGAATAAAACTTGTTATCAAAACTTATTATGTCTGTTATTGATAAACAAGTTAATATTGTATCCAAAACTTTGAAACAAGGTTCCCATGACCTGGAAAAAAACAAATAAGTAATTTAATTACTAAGATTTTTCAAAACCACTGAAAAATACCTAAATTTATCTTTCATTTGTAAATTACGAAATTATTCCAGAGTTATTCATTCTTCCTTCATATATATTTCTTTCAAATTATATATGTATTGATAGATTAAAACATCTCCCTTTTGCTACCACTTTAAAAAAATTTCCATACCATGGAAACCCTGTGAAAATCGTAGTGTCTTTAAAACAAATACTTCCCACAGAAAAAACTTATTAATTTAATGTTTATGATGTTATATTTAATGTTAAGAATTATAGTAATGCATGATTACTTAAGAAAAATGAATGAATTTCAGTAAAAAATGAATAATGGAAATAAAGTGAGATTTCCGTATTGTGATCTGTGGCAGAAAAATCGCCAAGGACTGGCAATTTCAGGGGAAGGGGCCTACAAAACATTATAAAAAAATCACAGAAAGGGATCAACTCAAAGGGTATAACTCATAGCCACCCCCAAGGAAATATCTACATGCTTTCTTTCAAAAAAATTTTAAAAGTTTAATATCTATTCAGCACTTTGGCGATTAAAGTTGGCGCGACAGATCATGATTCAGAAATAATATCATAAATTATTTACCCAAGACGATGTCCACCAGGAAAATCAGCTTGAACTCTTGCACCAAGAGGAACAACTCTAATTTCAAATATATAAACAGGCAGAGGGAACTGGACTAAATCAAGATTGAGCTCCTAAAATTTGCATTAATCAAAACTTTAATTGCACAAAATATCAAAAATACAAAATCTCTAAGCATCAATTACATTGCAATTTATACCTTCAAACTTGCCGAAATTAACTAAACTGCTATGCTTTAAATATACGCGGATTCTCAAGGGAAAACTGTTAAATTTTGAGCCAAAATCAAATCTGAACACTTTGATTATGATATCATACATCTAAATTTCGCATCCACTACGATAGGTTAATCTGGAGTAGACGATGAACATCAATAACTGTTAACAAAATTAATTGGGCAAATAACGTCCAACTATTTTGAAATATAATTCAATTTAAAGAGTATCATTCAAATAAAAATTTAAAACAACAACTTATTTTAAAGATAAATTTACTTTATTTCACATTAAAGCACTTAATATATTGATTTATTCTGATAAGAGTGAAGGTGGATCAACAACTCACTAATATAAATTTCTTACAACACTTTGAAACGAACGTGAAAATGTTAACTTACTTCACATGAATCATGAGAGAATGTGTCAAAAAACAATAGTTCACAGTCATCTCCCATAACCATTCTGATTGATAGATAGTAATGAAATAAATTCTTTACAAAACTTTATAAAGATCAAAAACAATCAGATGCGGAACGCAAATAAACAAACCGCAATAAAATAGTTACGGTTACAATGACATTTATATTTCCTTCCTGAAAACAAAGCTAAACTAAGCCAGTAACTGTTAACCTTATAATTTGCCGAGTTGCAACCTTATTGGTCGAAATGAGCTACAGGTGGCGTAGAGCAAAACTCTCTACCCATGGTAATATTTCACATTCTTTCACTATTAGCGTGTGGAGAGTTATTGTACGAAGTACGTGTCTTACATTACGATTATAGTATTCTAAAACAGTGGTGCGCAAACTGGAGGTCGCCGGAAGTCTTTCAGGGGTCACCAAATTTTTATGAAATGCATTATCCCTGCATGCTGTATACCATACAGTGTACATATAAAGAGAGAAGCGCCGTCATTCACTGTTTATCATGTATTCACCTCGAGTTTTATCATGTGACGTTGTGTAATTTTGATTTTTTATATTTTTATCGGGCTTTGCTACTCTTTGTTATCAGGTTGTATGTACTATCATTAGAGAAAGATCTCTGTTAATTTTATTGAATTTCTCGAAAAAAAATGATAAAATTTTATATATTATTTGTTTTAGTTTAAATAATTTAACCCCTATCTTCATAATGGATAAATGGGTAATACGTACACCAGGTACATCTTCAGCTAACAAACGAACAAATACTGATGAGGAGTCGCAAAATACTGAACTAAATGCCCGATCTAAAAAAAATAAGAAAATACAATGAGGAATTTATTAAGTATGGCTTTACATTTTGTGTTGTTGATGATGAAGAACGTCCGATATGTGTCATTTGCAACGAAAAATTAGCAAATGAGAGTTAAGTGCACATGGGTAAGCCACATGCAATTAAATTAAATACTTAAAGATTAAATAGTTAAATAAACATCTAAAAGGAAATTAATTTATGCCAGTCATAGATAAAAAGTTAAACATATTTAATGAAATAGGAAATGAGACATTCTGAATAAATAAACGCGTGCCTTAGCACAAACGTGAAGATGATGACGCTACACTGGTCGAAGCTGTATGTGGAGGAAATAAGTAGACTCGCTTCTTATTATAAAATATAATATATTAACAACTTTGAATAATAACAATAACGTACATATCAAAAACAGGAGAATTATCAAACAGCAGCAGCAGAAAGAAAACATTAGTATTCTTTTATTTGTGTTCTTCGTTGCTATGGGATACGAGACTGGCAGCGTTGAGTTGTAGTAGGCAGGTCACCACACTGTAACCCGAATGGTAGAAAACGAAGGGAGGAAAACAGTCTCTGTGGCAGGGTTGCCAACTTTGAATGTTCAGGCCAAATCAGCGTTTCAGGATAGTTCGTTATCGCCGTAATGGCGAGATGATCCGCTGCAAGAGCATGAAACCAGCTAAGTTAAAAAGGCACCTGGAAACTAAACATAAAGAACTTCAAAATAAACATGCCGATTTTTTTTCAAAGACGAGCTGAAAATCTGAAAATTCAAAGTGCACATTTAAAGAAATTTACAATAATACCTCAGAAAGCATTACGAGCTTCTTTAGAAGTTTCTTATCTAATAGGAAAAGCAATGAAACCCCATACAATCGGAGAATCCCTTATCCTTCCTGCAGCAACTAAGATGACATTGACATCAATTAGGCATGGCGATAAATATGGAAATGAACTAAAAACAATACCATTATCAAGAGATACCGTGTCTCGGTGGATTTCCGAAATGTCACGAAATATCGAGTCAGAAGTCATAAAACGCATACAAAATTCATCTGTATTTGCTTTACAACTGGACGAGACTACCGATATTACTAAAATGTCACAACTAATTATTTACGTTAGGTTTATTTTTAATGAAGATGTAATAGAAACGTTTCTATGTTGCAAAAGTTTGGAAGGAAAGACAACTGGAGAAAAAATATTCGAAGTAATAAATGAATATTTTGAAACAAAGTGGCAAAAAGTTACCAAGGCAAGGTTAAAGTTAGTTAGTAGAAACAAAGTTACCTGGGCAAACTGTGTTGCGGTTTGCACTGATGGTGCTGCAGCATTAACAGGTTCGAATAAAGGGCTCAGAGGCTTAATTCAGAAGGTGGAGCCTCATATGGTATTTAATCTCTGTATGATTCATCGGCAAGCTCTTGTTGCAAAAGATATGGATGAAGAGTTGCACAACGTATTACAAGACGCTGTTAGTTCAATTAACTACATTAAATGCAACAGCCACAACAGCCGTCTCTTTTCAATATTTTGCAATGAGATGGGCTCAACGTATGAGAGATTACTGTTACACACCGAAGTCAGATGGCTTTCACGTGGGAAAATACTACGACGGATATTTTATTTGAGAAATGAAGTGTACATGTTTTTAATAGAAAAGAAACATAGAGTGGCAAGTTGTTATATCAATGAAGTTTGGCTAGGGAAGCTGAGCTATTTAGTTGATATTTTCGAAAAACTTAATGACTTAAATTTGAGCTTGCAGGGTGAGAATTAAACTATCATAACTGCAGCCAGTAAAATTCAAGCTTTTAAGAATCAGCTTAGTCTCTGATGGCAAACTGAACTGAATAAAAACAACACTGACATGTTCCTTTGCCTTAACGATTTTATCAAGGAAAATAATGTAGATATATTTACATTTAAAAACATCATTTCCAATCACATTGAAAATTTAAAGAAAAATTTTTCGAGAAGATTCGAGGATTTTCCTGAAAACGATCTTGGTTGGATTCGTGATCCATTTTCCTTTGACATATGCAGTTCAACTCCTCAAATTAGTGAGAAAGAGCAATTGATAGATCTAATTAGTGATTATACTCTTCGAAACCAATTTAAGACTCAGCCTTGCCATAAATTTTGGCTATTCGAGGAAAAACAATATTCCGTTTTATGCAAGAATGCCATCAGAGTGTTCATGCAATTTGCATCAACGTATTTATGTGAAACTGGATTTAGCAAACTAGTTTCAATAAAAACTAACTACCGCTCGCGTTTAAACCCTGAAGATGATATGCGAATTGCAATTAGCAACATACATCCAAACATCGATGAGATAATTAGAAACTTGCAGCAACATACATCTCATTAAAGGATAATTTACTGATTTTTGTGTTATACAAAAAGTATTTTCTTAAAATTATAAATAAAATTAATATGAGTCAAATATGATGATGTTCTTATTCGATGAAACGAAAGAAATGCGCGAAATATACATCGTATTTGTGAACATTTATCTCTAGGGATCGCCAAAAATTTTCTCTCTACAAAAGGGATCGCATGCGAAAAAAGTTTGTGCACCACTGTTCTAAAAGATCTACTAGTCTATTGTTGGTAATTCTTTCTAGCATAAACATAATTTGAATAAGCATCTAGTTAAGGTTATGGGTCAATAATTTGTATGATCTTTCGGAATTTTATCTCGTTTAGTGATTGCAACTACTAAAGATTTTCGTCAAGACATAGGAGGTTTTCTGTCGGTCCAGATTCTATTGTACAATTTTAGGAAAACGGTAAGATCAGTTTTTTTAAGATTTTTCAGCATATTATTATGAATGTGATCAAATCCCGGTGAGGTATTTCGCAAACTGTTCATAGAAAATTTCAGTTCAAAGTATGTAATTGGTAGATTATATTCATAAATTGAGTATAACGGACATTTAAGATGAATTTTTTTTCACTCTGTTTTTTTATCTTACTGAAAAGATTTAGAGTAACTAGCAGAGAAAATTTATCTGCAGGGGTGTCAGCTATGTCCTTTATTTGTGTAATTAAATATCCATTTATTTCTAATTGGATAATTCTTTGAGAGGGATAGTGACCTGTTATCTTATTAACTCTCAAGCAAATTTCTCTTGAAGGGTTTTTAGTATTCATTGTATAGTGCTATGCATGGGATTTCGTTTTTCGATTAAGCTTTTAATGTTTGATAAATTTTGGGGAAAAAATCACATTAATTCCAACATAAATAAATATATTTGTCATTATTTTTTAGTTTTAGATTTTGTGTACTTAGATAACAAATTCGTTAGTGTTTCCATACCTTTTTCAATCTGCATTTCAAACTCTGGGAGTTCTATACAATTATCATCCGTGCTCATTGCATCCGATTGCGTTTGTTCATCTCGTTTGCTGTTTGAGAGTGTTTTTCGGTGTTGTTGAATCGGTTTGTTTATTTTTAGAAACAAATTTAGGTTTACTTACTAAACGAGACTCAGTTAATATTTTGCGCAAAACGTTTGCTAGTTGTGGTGTTGGCTTTATATAATAGTTAGTTTCGGAACTTTTTTGTGAAGTCAACTGATAGGGAGTGCTCTGAGCTGGTCGTCGTTATAGTTGAGAAGGTTGCGATATTGATTTGAAAGTAGTGGATGTCTATTGGCTTTTGTGGGGAGTTTGTTTTTGACCCACTCTTGTTATCATATAAAATCTTTAGTTTTATTATTTGAGGATCTGCGTCACTATTGTCTTATTGCATTGCTATATATTTTGTTCCTTTTGGGGTAGTAACTGCTGCAGCATAAGAAAAATTCGATCGTGGCATTGAGTTTAGGAATTTGGATTTAGCTTTATCGAAACACGAAAGGTTTTATGTGATTTTAATATTTAGAATTTGTATTTCTTGCTTTTCCATTTGGAGCACTATCGAGAATTTCCTGGATGGAGTTTATTACAGTTGAAACATTTCTCTGGGGGTGTACATGATCTAAAATTGTGTCCTGTTTCTCCGCAACGGGCGCAAGTTTCTTTACCTGCATAGGTAACTGTGTACAAAAGACCTACAATGTGTATGAAAGAAAAAATTTGACAGTAAGTTTCTCAAACAGAAATTGAATTTGAGCGTTGTTCTTATGAAAAAAAGTTTTATTATGCCTCGTGAAAGAAAAAGAAAAATCTACCAACAAGTGTCTGAGTTTGATAGAAGTCGAATTGTAGCCTACCGGGATTGCGGTTTATCATACAGAAGAATTACTGCTCGCGTAGGCCGAGATCCCATGATTGTTAGAATAGTATGGAATCGATGGGTTCATGATGGTCATATGGAACGCCGTGC